GGACGGTGGTGGACGGTGGTGGTGGTGAAGAGAAGTAGAAAGAAAAAAAATGGAGAAGATGTTAGAAGACATATGTTAATGTCTTCTCCAAGAATATGCAAGGAAGACCTTTTTGAGTGAAATGTCTTCCAAAAAATAAACAATCTGCAGAGCTCAGCATCTGCGCGCGTCTGCGCGGCGCAGACAAAAGAGGCCAGAAGCTCTTCTGGCCAAAAAACAAACACCCCCTTAATGAGTCTGTCCATCACAGGGGAAACGAAAAGCTGGTAAAAGGAGGCGTTTCTCCATAGAGTGAAGAATGGGTGACTCAAAAGGGACGATGGCGAGGATCTCAAGTCAAACACTCGGCCACAAAGCTGTCAAATCCCAGTGCTTATAGTTGTTTCGGTCCTAATCTCGTTTTATAAAAACGGATCAAAACGGTCTAGAACACGACCTTGTCATTTTTTGTCCCTTTTGTTCTGGGACTCAGACAATTCAGATTGGTTCATAATGTACTAATTCAATGCTTTTTAATGTGAAGTTAAAAATATTTAGGGTCATATATATGATAATCGAATTAAAATTTTGTATCACAGTCTAATCCTATTAGATATCAATTCGGTTTTGTGTCAAGATGAAAAAAATCAATCCCATCCAAAAATACTATAGATTGTTCGATACCATTGCGGTCCAATATAATTGTCTACCCCTAAATAAACTTTCAAATTAAAAAGTAAATTAAAACTTATACGAACATTAAAGAATTAATATTTTAGTTTACAAATCATAGTAAATTTAATAAAAAAAAAAGAGTAATGTAAATGAATATTTAAGTTTAAACATAAATACACAAGACAACAAAACAGAACAAGATACTTTTTTATGTGTCCTAGTCAATATTTTAATCGATTTGAGATGGGTTTGAGACTAAATTTTGTCGTCTAAAATTATAAGAACACTCGTGGAATTTGATCTTGCCACTAGGCATTTTATAAAGGCATTGGATCAGGATGTTTCAAAACGGGACAAGTGGAGAACGCATGCAATCGGGATTCTGGACCACCCCTAATATTGATGGGCGTAGCACTCCAGGGAGAGGTACCGTGATCCGGCGTGGCATTTCTACCTCAGCCATGATCATCGTTGAACAATTTTTTTATGATCGAATAATTTTTATATACATAAGCAAAGATATTTTTTATTGAAATAAAGAAAGTACAAGAGAGGAAGACCCCACCAAAGTCCTTAAGAAAATGTGTAAATTGGAATACTATTTCTTAACAATTATCAAGCCAACATCCATGCATTTTCCAAATATACTAATTGATAACATAACCGTAGTATAAGTGACCGCATCATCTTTAAAATATAAAACAGCATGCGATTGGAACAGATTAAAATTGCTAGCTAATTCTAAAGAAAACTTTAATTTCAACAAAAACCCTCTACACTAATTGAAGAAAGTGCCTTTTGTTTTTTAGTTCTATTAAATATTGTTTGTAAAAATTATTTTTAAAAATTATTTTTACTTCTAATTTGTTGAGATAACACATTTATTTCGTACTAAATATCTTAGTCTTGCATTTCCTCCAATTCAATTCACATGCTCTAAGTTCTATCCTTATTTCTATTACATCTCCAATTTCCATTTTTAAAAAAATATAGTATAATAAAATTTAGAAATTAAGGATGTAATTTGATGCACTCATGCAGAAGACGACCTATGCCATGAGACTTGTGTCTGAGGTAATTAGAAATATAAAATGAAGATATTGATTATAAAATAAATGTGATATCTCAACAAATTAAAAATGTAAATTATATTTAAGAACCATTTTAAAAATAAAAAATATTATAATGATGACTTAACAAATCTTTTTTACAGAGACCAAAAACAAAAAACTTCTACTTTACAGAAACTAAAAACATATTTAACCCTTAAATTTTAAATCAAGTATGAGCCCTCACTAGGTCAATGTCACTTAATCTTGAAAACTTTGCTTAGAACCTCATTTGAAGGCATCCTTTTTTCACATAAAAAACACAACTTGTGTGTGCATTTGAATGTTTTTCCCCCTAATTGCATATCTACACCCTATTTGCCGTTTATTGCATACTTAAGTGAAAAAAGTCAGTTTGTGATGCTGAATAGTAAATCATTAAAATCTTCATCCCACAAACTCTCTGGATGTTCTGCATCAGTTGCGTCTAGCAGCGCGCTGATATCTTCTTCGCCTCCATAGCTGTTTATCTCCAGAACTGCAGGTGGCACCTCTAAAGAAGAAGACTCTTGCTGTGTTGAGCTGAAGTTCCCAGAGTTCCCCGGCACCGAAAGAGACACACTTTGGTGATCATCAATGAGAAACATTTCTGCATAGTTCTCTGAATCATCCGTGGGTTGCTGCACCGAAAGCTGTTGCTCTGGAGATGTGCTGCTGCTAATTCCTTGGGCTGAAAATCCCGGCGGAGAGTTCTCATTATAAAGAGTATAAAATGGTGGAAATGTTGCTTGCTGTTGGGAAATGAAGCTTTCAGACATTTCCCCACTATGAAATGATGGAAAACTGTCTGGAAATGGTTCGCATTGAACTAAGCTTTCCAAGAATGGCAAAGAAGATTGCTGCTGGGGAATGGGGTTGAGAGAGCCCGAAGAGATTGAGACAGAATCTGCATTCCCAGAAACCCAATCAGTGGTTAATGATGAACTGCTTTCTCTTTGAATGTCTGTGCAGCTTATAGAACTCTTGTCCCCAAACTGGAGTTCATCATTGACCACTCTAAGGCCAAGAAACCTGAAGTTGGAATCACAAGTGTTGGGTTGGTTTATGGCAAGACTATGATGGCTCGATTGCCGCCTGTTTGGGACTGCCAAAAGCATGCTCCTTTTCTCATCCCCATAAACTGTGAAGTTCCCTCTTAAGGGCATTTTGGGAACAAAGCTTGGCTGGAACTCCATCGGCCCTTCACAGTTCATTTGTTTCCGGTGCAGCATTGTATCAAAAGATGACAGCTTTGGCGAAAGAACATGGCTCAGAACCCCTTGATTGCTGTTATCATGGTGGATATGGGGTTGTACTGCTAAGGTTGACATGGAAGCCAGGAGGTTGGGGTTGAGCAAGTAGGACTGGCGAATGAGAGGGGACGGCGTGGAAAAGACTGAACTGTTCCCATCAAAGGGGGAGGAATATCTTTGTGAAGGGTTGCAGTTTAGGGTAGAAAGGGATGATCCATATAATGGCTTTGTAGATTCTTTTGTCAAGTTCAGACCATAAGAAAAATCGGTTGAAGATTCTTGACCTTTTTTCAAATTCGTACGATATTTCTACAGAATAAAAGGAATAAGAAAATCTTGATATCGATGAGAGAATTAATAATAACCATCATAATAAAACACCATTTTGGGAGATTCTAATGCAAATTCAGGATATCATGTTGTGATCTGGTTTTGGCAAATTATTGATTCTGGCATTAATCTGGTTGATTCTTGTAATTAAGTCTCTTCATGCATATCCCCATTTTCTCTCCTTTTTGCACTAAGTAATGTGATTCTCTTGTCATTAACAATAATCTTTTTTTGTTGTTGCTAAAATCTCTTCACCTTGTAACAATTAATGATTTTAGAGCAAAGTCAATCAAATTCATATGTAGAGAATTACTATGAGAGTAAATATACACAAAAAACAATCATCAAGATTTTAAAAATGCAGAAAATATTTCTCATAAACAGATTTGAAGAATAACCAAGACCTGCAAATGGCTGGCAACATGCTCTCTTGTCAACCCTGGCTCATTCATAAATTCGACGATTTTCTTGGGAACAGCCTCTGAAAACCAAAGGAAATCATTCAATAATAACCATTAATTTTTTGTGTCACACAAGAAAATGAAAGGATGATGTCTCACTGTCATAGCCTAACTTCTGGATGGCCTCCACAAATCTCTGGTGCATATCCGGAGTCCAGTTCAGCCTCGGCTTCTTTTTAGTCTCACACTCTTCACTTGTTTCCATGCCCTCTTCCGTTTCTTTTCTCTTCCGGTTTTGGCCCTGGTTCCTCTCCTCACAATCACTAGTCTCCACATGAGATGTTAAAGCATCACTCTTCTTGTAACCATTCTCCTCAACACCACTTGCTGCTTTTCTGGCAGCAGATTGCCACAGCTCTCTCATGTCGTTCATATCCATAAAGTCTATAAGATATGATGAAACATTGCATTCTTTGCCTTCGGTATCCAACTCCACTTCTCGTGGCATCATCGCTGACAAAATTTGAAAACCAAGGAAAAAAAGAGATTATATAATCATAATGCAGATTATGTAACATGTGATAACATGAAGAAATAGAATAACAAAACATACAAGAGACGCGAAGATTCAGTTCCTTCTCAATGACTTGGATGATCTCGGCCCCCTTCGTCGATAACCTATTTAAGTTTGTTAAAACAAGACTTAGTGCATCTTTTCTCTTGCAGATTGCGTTCATTGCATCTGTAGCCCTCCCAATGTGCAACACTGAGATGAACAAAACAAAACATGGAAGGCATTTAAAACAGAAAATTTTAACGGAAGAATCGGAAGATTGTCATCATCAACCAAACTATGATCATGAAAACTGTGTTTGGTTTGATATGAAACATTATATGACTTGGTTGGAAACAAAGATACCTTCATAAGTGCAGTGCTGGAGTACCTCAGAGACAAGGTTTTGACAGATGCAATCATCGCCGAAGACCAATAAGCAAATTTTCTTGCGAGTTCCCATATCTGAAAGAGAAGAAGCCAACGAAGAAGAGGAAGAATGAATGAGATTGGACTTCCTAACTAAAGAGGGAAGTTCTCTGGATGATAAGTGTGACAAATGATATAAATAATTTGCCTTATTATAAATCATTTAATGCACTCAAAAGCCTATGAGGCTCTTTCAAGAAAATGTAACTCCATGACCATCCACCATTTTATAAAAATCCAAAAAAAGGAAAGGCTAACATGCACCTGTTTAGTGATCATTGCAAACTCTTATCTACCAAAGCTTGGCACAGAAACTGAAAGAACATCTTATACAACTACATTGATAATATGATTGGTATGGTAACAGTGCAAAAGGCGTTCGGATCTCTGGTATCCCTTGTTTGATTCACTACTAATTTGGTATCTTTCGTGGGGGAATGTATTTTCTCAGCTACATTAATGAAGGTTTAAGCCTTAACTTCTTTTCCCAAATCTCTTTTTTAGAAGAAAAACTTACTATAAAAAGTACACAATTTTGTCGCATAAAAATAACGGATGGAGCGTGTCCATTATCTGCGAGTTTGTTCACTGCATTAGGCAAGACAACACTTTAGGCGCTTCAGATGTTTGTTTTCAGAGGCAACCATAGAAATTTTGACATTTATTTAATCTCATGCCATTGCTTCAGTAATATTATTATGGTCATAAATGTTATTTGATTCACACATGGCCCATGTTTAATGCCAAAAATCTGCAACTCATTCTTCTAGCAACAATACATCATACAACAGGAAATGCCACACCAGAAGTTGAGAAAACTAATGAAAATTGTGAATTTTCTGGTACTTAATATTCACAAAGGATTCTGGCTCCCAATGGCCATTTACAGTAGTACTGTACCCCCACCACCACCCCACCCCGCTACAAATATAATAACTCGAGAAGCAGTGATCTAAATTCTATCTAGTTGGTCTAATAGGCTATCCAGTTGCGGTTAACAAGCCGAACACGCACGGAGGAGCACCAGTGGTAGACAAAATGGGATTTACTCAAACAAAAGGCGGCGCCTTGCTGACTTGCTAAGGTTGGAAAGTTGCTCTTTTTTTTCCTTTTTGGAAGCACTAGAAGTGCTTGAGCTAATGATTGATTTTCTCCCATCAATCTTTGTCTGGCTGGTGGTGGGCTTGGATGATGGAAAGAACTCACTGATTCTGAGCTGAATCTCGCCGGAGGGTTCTGAACTTTCAGGGAGACCCCTTCTTTTTCGTGCCGACTTCGCTTCTATCAACTCCTAGGCATTTAAACAGACATTTAAAGAAAAACAGAACACTTGGGCATGTGACAAAACACAGAAAAAACAGGGAAAAAATCTCACCTTTTGTTTCAAGAATTGGTTGACCTTTTCTGGAAAGGCTTTCCGAACAAGCTCTATATCTTCATCAGTTGACAAATAGCAGCAACCATCCTCTTTATGAATCTCTGGCCCATCATCAAGCTCTTCGGTTAAATCAATTATCACTTCATCTCTCCCAGCTTCGTCATGCAGTTCAAACTCATCATTGGTCAAATAGTTTTCTTCGTCGCCTCTCCTAGAAGTTTCTGGAGTCCAATCAGGCTTTTTGAAGGTAACCGTGTGGGTATCATCAGCAGTTGTGTGAATTGCTTTTCCGTGATCTTCTGTATAATCTATTAGTTCATCAGCAATCTCAGTTTTCTTGATATTAAGCTCCGTCCCATCAGGTTCTTCTGTTAAATCAATAACTTCATCAGCTCTTCCGGTTTTCTTGAAATGAATCTCCATCCTATCGGGATCTTCTGTTAAATATTCAAACACATTAGATTTCATATTCTCTTGCTGCATATTAGGCATTTTTGAGATAGCTGTGCCATCAGTATCAGCAAAGATTGCATGTGTTTGTTTCTTCTTCCAATAGACTACGTAAAATTGATGGCCGTATCTAGTCTTCACACGCTTAATGTGATCAAACTCGTACTGCCCATAGAGCAAAAGGTTTTCAGGATTTGAAGCAGCCACGTCTCTCAAAAACAAAGTTGATAGCATTGGAAGCATTCTCTTCCGTGTATATGAAGGATCCCATTGCTGGTGAAAAGCTAAATAATCAACAAGCATATCAGTTTTTGGGTTTGTCCACGATATCTTCTTGCGGCCATCATCACCTACAAATGACCAAATGGAAAAAAAAGGGTCACTCAAAGTATGGCGTTAAAAAGACAAATAAATTGTTACAATTAAATAAGAAAGATAATGAATGTGTATCAGTACCGTGTCTGTTGTCATTTTGCAAGTACATCTTAATGATCAAATCATGTGGAAAGTCCTCCATTGCAATCTTTCTGCAGACTTTAATGTGCCAATTTTCATTTTTTCTCTGTTCATTTTCTTTCCTATCCTGCCACAAAGAAGAGAGCAGAAGATGTTCAAAACCTCATAAGAAGCATAAGATGATGCACAATTATTTAGAGTGAACGGCCAACAAAAATCACAATTATACCATATCACATGATGAACAGCTACACGTGAAACCCGGGGCTTTCTGCTTGCAATCCTCGCCAGTGTTGCTGCAGAACTCACAACCAGACTTGAGGTGAGCCCGCTTGCTTCCTGGATGTCCACAGTATGAACAATGTGGAAGTTTTGGTTTTCGAGGGCTCTCAGAACATGCCACGAAATCACCACCCTCTGCACTGGCAATATCATTTGATTCCACAGTTCCTCCCCTGCTTATTTCCAGTAACCTATATGGTAATAAATGAGACACAACTGGTGAGGAAAAGCTGCTTACTGCAAAATAAACATATTTTATGCTATGTAACAAAAATTAATAAAAAAATCCTCATGTAATTCACCCAGGTGCAGACAATATTTCATGTAGGAAACGCTGAGAGCAAGCAAAAACCTGTCTAGAATCTCATCTTTGCTGAAAGACTTGGCAAATCGGCGTGCTGTCTCTAAACCAATGCCACGTACCCCAGATAGATTATGGTCATTTCCTACCAAAATAGAAATTGCTATCAAATGGTTCCTTGTCAGCCCAAGACCAGCCTCAATATCGGACATATAGTAGCACTCAAACGGATCCTACAAAAGATGATTACTGTCATAAACAAACAAAAGCAGAACGAATCAGGTTAAGTCCCTGCAAAAGATGATTTTTGTCACGAAAATGACTTACTTTTGAGTTGGGATGGATGTGCTTGATAACACAGGTAGCTCCAAAGAGAAATACATCACTATCAGCAGTAACACAAGCATCAACAAGTCCTTCTCTATTCAGCTCTGCACAGAGCGCTTCAGCTTCCCCTTTAGCTTTTAGAACAGGCATTCCAAGGAGTTCGAGCAACTCCTATCAAACACCACTTATTAATAAGCACTCAAATATGCTTTCTGTAGTTCCATTGGCATTACTTATCAACAAAAAAAGGTGTGATCGCTTCTTTTTTTGGACACAAGAAGATAATCAAAAAAACAATCAAGGGTATTGCATGAATCGGATTATTGGAGAATATGCAAAATTTACGTTGATGAAGGAGACATGTAAGTATGTAACTGCATATTTCCATGGTATCAGAAACAACTTATGACCGCGTAGAAAAATTTAACGGATGTCACGTGGAACTATAAGAAAACCATTATGGGTATCAAAGAGCTCGATTTAAATAAAATCAAAAGAGACTCACAACACATTCGCGCACACACTTTAGAAAAGCCTTGTTCCTCTCAACGGAAATTTCCTTTTCTGATGCAGGCATACTTGATGTATCAATCCCCGATGCTCGGAAGAATCTTGCCATCCTTGCCCGAGACTTGAGAGGAGATGGTGCCCCATCTGTCACAAAAACTGGAAATGCCCCAAACTGCATATCCATAATGGATAAAAACATACCTCACATTAGAAGTTCCCAAAGAAACAAACAAAAAACTTATATTCTCAATAGTCAATACAACCTCACAATGTGACATTGAAAACAAAAGACAAGAATGTGAAAACTGGAAAAGTAATCACAACGCAAGGTTAAATACTTAGTTTAGCAAAATTTGCTAATTGAATTTTAAGGCACAACAATTGTCACCTACATGCATATGCTTAGATAAATACTCCCTCCCTCCGGATTTATTTATCCACCTTGTCCCTTTTGGGATGTCCAAAACAAATTGTACACTCAACGCATTTAATTAGTACAAAATCATAGAACTGAATCATCAAAAAACACTCCCTCAAGAACATATTGGCAGTGTTGCCTTCAGAGGACAAGCTAATTCCAAGGTTTTTATTTTATTTTAATATCTTTCCTTTAAAAAAATTCAGACAGAGGAGTATAAGGGTATACAACCCCACTTCTCTTTGTTCCTCATATGAATTTTTTCTGTGCAAATGTGCATGTAGACACATGTGTAGATAAAATTCAAAGAAATAGATTGTGTTCCTCCATTCACCATAAAACTGAAACCCATTTTGATTTTGCCCCTATACAGTACAGAAATGCACTAATTTCAAGCAAAACCCAAAACGGTCATTCTTTTTGTTGCCATTTCCATTCGAATAAAAATGCAGTCTTTTTGGCTATTCAGTCTTCGCGATTGAATGGATAAACTTACCATGGAGAAGAGATTGATGGTGCGGAAGAACGTCAATCGTATGTGTGGGTTTCGAACGTTCCCTTTGATAGCGGTTTCGTGTTGGACGATCCAGTACGAGAGGTCGACGGCGACCCGTTTGTCCCTCAAGAAATCGAAGCCTTCGGGTCGGGCATAGGGCTTGAGCAAATCCCAGAAGTTTCCTCCAGCGCCCATTTGTTTCGCCAAGAAAGTCTTGAGAAGAAGAAGAAGAAAGATTGGTTAGTAATGGCGTGGGAGGGAAGTGACTGAGAGTGGCCACCGCTTTCAGCGACGACTCGTTTGTGTGGGAACGAAGGGGGTGAGGATGAAACCATGGAAAGATGGGACCGGAGGGTCCCTACTCCCTAGAACTTTTTTAGCCGTTAGGAGTCGGTGAATGAATAAACTAACAGCCATTTTTTTGATAAACTAGTATTCTAACTCGTGTCCGCACGGGATGAAATAAACTTCTTGATAATTCTAAAGAGAAAAAATACATAAAATAATCCCAATTTTACCTGGCCTTTTAAAAATAATCTCACCTTTCACTGTGATGCATAATAATCCCAACTTTACTGAAATTTGTCAGTTTTGGGTCGCCGTTAAGTTTCTAACGGAGGGTTAACAGAAATGCCCGTTTTAGGCAACAAAATGAAAGTTGGGATTATTTTTGATGAATTTTCATTTTTTTTCTTTAAATTTTTCATTTCAATTTTTTAAATTACTTTCTACCTCCATCATAATTTCTTTTTCCTTTTTTAAAGATTAGTCTTAGTTTAAAAAATAAAAATAATAGATATAAAAAATGAAAAAATGAGAAATGTAACTAAAATGATACAAAAATAATAAAATAAATAAGGTAATCAATGGAAACTAACTTGAAATTGTTAAAAAAGTAAAATAAAAATATACGGGAAATATGATATGATAACGAATAAACATATTATTGATATGATATGTATAAAAATATACGGGAAATATAAAAATATACGGGAAATATGATATGATAAAAATATTCATGGAAAAACAATATAATAACTAGGGACTAAATTATTGATATGATATATAGGGACTAAATATGTAAAACGAATTATAACTAGAAATCTTTTATAAAATTTACTCAAAAAATAATAGTAGTAGTAAAAAATTATAATCATAATAAAAATTATAACTATAATAAAAAAATAATCTTATTATTGCTATTATATAAACACGGTTGCATACTTGTAAGAAAAAAAGAATACATCGCATATAGTATTTGTTTGTTTGATAGTGCATCAATTTTAAAAATCTAGTATTTTAATACATTATTTTATTTTAAAATATTATTTAAATTTTTAAAACTTGTTAAAAATTCGGGTCGGGCCGACCCAAAAGCAGTGGGTATCTTGTGGGCTAGGCTTGGTTTGAGTTGTTAGGTCCATTTTGTGGGCTGAGCCGAACCTTAAAAAATTCGTAATGTACCATCTCTGCCTGACCCGATACGCGGTCTGGTCCGCACTTTGATTAGGTATTTCAAAAGTCAACTCCACCTCTGGGATCTCTTCACCGAAGCACCTGGTATTAGGAATTATAGATGTATTAGGAAATAAAATAGAGTAAATCACATAATTGATCCTTTATAACAGGGGTTTCCATATTTAGTCCTCTATTATCAAATATTACCCCCGTAGTCCTTTTTTTAAGGGTGCGTTTCCACAAATGGTCCTTATTTTTATCTTCTACCATGTTGGTATTAATTTAAAGGCTAAAAGTATAATTTGACATCAACATTATGTCTAGTGACGTGTTCTGATATTGGTTAAGTGGATAACACAAAACTAATGACTATGATTGTGGGCTAGGATTCCGACGAAAGACCACATTTGTAGACTATGGTTGTAGTAGAAAGCGACTGTAATTCACAAACGATGGAAACGGAACAGCCTTTGGAATTGTGTATGACAAAAAAGATATATTATCATTGAAAAATTACACTTTTAGCTCTCAAATTACACCAACATGATAGAAGATCAAAAAAGGACTATTTGTGGAAAGATACCCATAAAAGAAGAACCACTGGGGTAATATTTAATAATTGAGAACTAAATAGGGAAACTCTCCTGTTATAAAGGACCAATTATGAATTTACTCAATAAAATATTATTATTCATTACTTTCCTTATTACATTACTTCCTTACTATATTGTTACTATAATTCTTCTCATACTCAGATTAGAATTCTCTCTTCTAATTCCTATATATAAAGATGCATCCCTCATTATTGAATAAGAGCAATTATCATCAAATTCTATCATGGTATCAGAGCTAAGGTTCTCAAAAACCTAGTCCTTCCTTTTTCTGACCGAGCACATCGTCGGTCTCTACTCACAGAGGTTGATCGTCTGACAGTATGGCGTCACTGATCAATCTCGACGAGCGCGTCCAACAGCCACTGTCCATTATCCTTCTCTTTCTCTAAAAAAACCCATTATCTATCTTTCTTTAAAAAAATCATGTGTATGATCGAAGAACGAGGAAATTGCATTTGTCTGTATTTTTTCTAGAGATCGAGAGCAAGAAAAGCGATAGAGAAGTAGACCAGAGAATGACCCAAAAGGAGAACAAAAAGAAACTCTTCGCCCTTGCTCCAATCGCCAACACTCTCACTAGAAAAACACTCAACAAACATAATCTCAAGCTCGTTCGTCATAGAAAAAAGATCTCCATCTCTACTTTTGAAGATTATTCTCACAAAACTGCTCACACCGGCTTAACTCGAGTACCTATGCTCCAAGCTCTTCCTCGTTACTGATGATCATGGTCAGCTTGTGCGGGGATATTAGGAATAATAGATCTATTAGGAAATAAAATATTATTATTCATTACCTTCCTTGTAACATTACTTTCTTATTGTAAAACTCTTACTATAATTTTTCTCCTACTTAGATTAAAATTCTCTCTTGTAATATCTAAATATAGAGATGTATTCATCATCATCAATAAGACCAATTATTATCAAATTATATCAAATAATACCAATTTTATTTTTTTCCAAGCAAGTTAAGCTTGGACAATCATCAAATTGTGTTATGGAATAAATCGTACTCTATGACATGTATTATTACCCCCTTCATCATAAAATAATCTTACAGATCGGTTTACGAATTTGGATTGAAATTTTTTTCAATTCAATTTATTTGACTATAAGTGTAAAATTAAAAAATAAAAATTATCTAACTATATACAATGCTAGGATGCATTTTGAAACAGTGTTCCCGCCCATTTCTTTGGGCCTATTTGGGCTGCCTCGGGCTGGGTAAGGAGGAGCTGTTGGGCCGACTGCTTTTGGCTGCCAATGGGACTGCTTTTCAGGCTGTTGGGCCGACTGCTTTTCAGCTTTAATGCATTGTCATTTCAATGCTTTTGATATAATTAAAGTGGTGCACTCTTCCATAAAGTTGATTTAGAAAATGTGTGGCTCCATAAAGTTATTTAAAAGGTTTGTGGCTCTAGAAAGCAAATCAAATACAATCCAAGCAATTAATGCACTTATGCATTAATATTGTCTGCGTGTGTATATATATAGAATGTTGTAATTGCTTGGCTATACACATCTCATACAACCGAAAATTCACAACAATGGCTCTAGCTCCACAAAACAACCACCGCTCAATGTTTGCTCCTATTTCCGACCTAAACAACACTAAAAAATCATGGATTCTTATGTTAAGAGCTGTGCGTGTTTACTTTGTGCCGAGGTGGGCAAAAGGAGGGGATTCAATGGAGATCATATTTCACGATGAGAATGTATGGTATTCCCCAAGTATGGTTTTACTTTTCAAATTATTAAATCTAAATATCTCACATACTTTTTTTTGAATAGGGAAATAGGATTCACGCTCATCTCAACCGACCGGAAAGAAGTAAATTTGAAAAGCAAATCACCGAGGGTGGTGTTTTTGGCATTCGAAATGTGTTTGTTCATGACAATTATCAGAGTTTGAAAACCACTTCAAATGATAAGCTTTTGGGATTTTTCCAAGACACCGAGGTGAAAACTTTGTCTCGGCTGGATTTCCCAAGCTTCATGTTTGACTTGAAGCCATTTCCGGTTATTCAAAGCCAACCATGTTTGAATGATCAGCTCTTGATTGGTATTATTTTTTAAAAAAAATTCGAGTAAATGTTATATGGTAAACGTCATAATTAATCGGAAAACACGTTACCCTCTTTGTAAATCACAAAATATTAATGCAGACGTGATTGGAAAGATAGTTGCTCGAACAAGTGTTCAAACAAACTCAAAGAGAGGCTTCGAACAAAAATTGATGGAAGTTACTCTAGAAGATCATGAGTATGAGTTAATAATTGCAAAAGATTTTTAAAATAAGAAACTGCACATTCGGCTATTGTTTATGATACACTATTACAGGGGGAATCGTTTGGGTTGCACACTATGGGGAGAATACGTGGACCGTTTCATGGAGAATACGTGGACCGTTTCATGGNTTGTAAATCACAAAATATTAATGCAGACGTGATTGGAAAGATAGTTGCTCGAACAAGTGTTCAAACAAACTCAAAGAGAGGCTTCGAACAAAAATTGATGGAAGTTACTCTAGAAGATCATGAGTATGAGTTAATAATTGCAAAAGATTTTTAAAATAAGAAACTGCACATTCGGCTATTGTTTATGATACACTATTACAGGGGGAATCGTTTGGGTTGCACACTATGGGGAGAATACGTGGACCGTTTCATGGAGAATACGTGGACCGTTTCATGGATTGTTTGACCCAAAACAACCAAGAACCGGTTATTATGCTTTTGAGCTTTTGCCGCCCAAGACGCTATATGGGTAAGCAACATTTTTTTTTTATTCGTTCTAAGTTATTTAAACATGAACAAAACTTAATTTGTTTACCCATGATTTGTAGGGACTGTTACTGTCTCTACTGCATTTCATGTTACCAAAATGATTTTCGATGGTAATTCTCCCGAGGTTGAAGAATTTAGAGCAAGGTATATCATTTCTTGCTAAATATCGTGTAATTCAAGTGTAAATGATAAAACTACTTATAGAGTAATGGAAAAATATACACAGTTTGCCTCCACAAGTGGATGACGGAATGGGCAGCATCGTTCTGAACAGTGGGGATGCCGGCGACCAAGGTGTCATCAAAACAACAACAATAAAAGCTCTTTTGGACAACATAAAGGTGAATACCAAACTTTTAATATTATAATACCGAATAATTGATATCATGTTTAAATTAAAAAAATTAATATTAAATTTTTTTGGACAGCCTGGGCCTTATTGGATTCTCAGGGAGATTGCTTCATTAAATGATTCAAGTGATTGGTGCTACTTGGGTTGCACAGAGTGCAACAAAAAGGTCATTCCGGATGGTGATAAGTTCAAGTGTTCGGGTTGTGCAGTTACTATACCGCATGGGGTGTATAGGTAAACAACTAAACATTGATGCATGTTAAAAATAAACATATCACGTATTTGGTAATATCCATGTAATACAAAAAATAACAATGTTTAGTTGTTTACCTAATAGGTACAAGGTCAGTGTTCGAGTCTATGACCACACCGGTCACGCTTCATTCGTACTTTGGGACCGTGAGTGTAAAGAAGTCTTGGGTGCAAGTGCGTTTGTACTGAGGGAAATAATGCTTGAGGTTTGGAAAAAATTATAATTTCCAGTTTTTAAGTAATTAGGAACTTAGTGTATTTCCCAAAAACCGAATTAAATTGTAATGTTATTCTCTTTTTTCAGAAAGAGATGGACCCAAACTTCCTTCCCCTTGAACTAAATCGCTTCCTTGGTCGGAAGGGTTTGTTCCATGTAGTGGTGAAGTCCGAAGTTGGGAGTTCAAGTTGGAATGGACCAAGGGCTTTTGGGGTGAGGTCTTTAATTACCGACCCTACAATCTTGAGCAAGTATGAACATTTGGTTGTGATTGAAGATGAAGAAGTTGACAGAGAGAGTGAGGGTTTATGGGCATCCCTCGAGGATTTGAGCCAAAAGGTGAATGAAGTGGTAAGCTAATATTTTAATAAGTGTGTCCCCTAATACTATTTATTGTTATAACATTACTAAGATTTTTTGACTCTTATATATTGGTTCAAGTGATCCAATGTCTAGCCAGAGTGTCAATACCAAGCCAAGAAGAATGCTCGATTTGGATGAGAGTGAAACTCTGAAAAGGAATCTATTTGATGAAATTTCAACAAGTGCTAGCAAGAAAATGAAGATGGAAACTGCTGAAGACTGAACATCACACTTCTTGGGACTGAAAAATCATTGTCATTTTGTATGCTTGAATACCCCACCTATTTTTGTGTAGCGGTTTGTTATGGTGTGGGTCAATTTCGGGTTTTATAAACCTTTTTTGTTATCGTATTGGCTTAAACTTTTGAAAGTCATATTGTTTTAAGTTTTACTAGACTCGATTGTGGCGTAAAGAATATTTCACTATGCATTCCTAAATTACATTCAATAACTTAACAGATTTAGATAACGTGATTTAAACAAGCATTCCACAACACTACTTAAATTAATATACTCACAAAAAATATATGCGACTAACCTAACACAATATATAGCATATAAGCATTAACATTACCACAAATAACCTGAATCACCAAACATAGAATACGGGAGGCGAGACTTTAACTTATATAACTTTTATGAAAAAAGAATTACATATAGACCAAGGAGTTTGATGAAGTGGGATTTTTGTAGTGTCATTTATTACATTTAAAAGTGCATTCAATAACATTTATTGAAAATGATTGGACACACTTATTTTTTGAAATTTAAATTTGTTGTACAGCTCCATACACATGGCCCATGCTCCTTTACTATTTATTCATAATATTAAAATTGAATTTAAAAATAAAGTATTTTTAATATCCGTAAATGTTCAAAAAAAGTAGTCAAGGGAATCGAAAACTTTAAACTTGATTGGTTATTAAAAACACAATTAATGAATAACTTTGAAATTATTTTGGTGTGAAAGACCCATTATGTTGCCGGATTTTTTAAAAAACGGAAATAGTTTTGGGTATGGGCATGCGTTTGTATGGAGTCGATATTTGCTATTTGGCCTTTTGATCCGCTATTGACATGGTTATTTGGCTGTCCATGTACTTGGACAGCCCACACCAACACCGTCACGCCAACAGCGATCTAGCCCATTTCAACTCATTTAACCTTCATATAACTATCAAATAATAAATATAATATCAGATTTATTTCTAATTTCTAAAAATACTGCCCATAGACACCAACAGCCCATTCCCATTTTAATTGTTAAAAAGATTATACTAAACATGCATTTTTTGCTACAATGTTTCTTTAAAACTAAAAATATTTGAAGTTCCAAAAAGATTTTGATGCTTTTTAGTTTCTTTTTTTAAAAATACGCTACCTTTTTAAATTCGAATTTGGATTTAAATATATACACATCAATGTTTTCGAATATATATATATATATATATATATATATATATATATATATACATATATATATATATACATATACATATATATATATATATATACACACACACACACATATATATATACATATACATACATACATACATACATACATATATATATATATATATATATATATAATAACACGCCTAAGAATAAGATATCATTATGTAGGTACAAAGCATTAAATACATCCATCCATGGACACCAACAGCCCATGCCTAGAGCCACACGCCGAGTGCATATCAGGCACATTAAATGACCCTTACACACCACTTTTGGACTAAATTTAAAAAATGGATTTCCTTTTTTTTTAAGATTTTACTAAACAAGTAATAATATGCTAAAATGTGTCTTTAAAATAAAAATACGCTACTTCTTAGAATTAGAATTTTGTTTTAAATATATGTGTGTGTGTGTGTGTGTGTCTATATATATATATAACTAAATATATATTCGTAATTAAAAATTATTTCAAAATATATATTCATATTGAAATTTTTTTAAAGTTCCAGAAATATATTTACATAAATATTAGTAAAAATCATTTTAGTGATATTAAATAGAAATCAATATAGGAAGAGAATAGACCTTAAGTATAAATCCACACGCCTAAGCATAGGATATGATTACTTAAGTACAAAGCATTAAATGCAGCCCATTGAAAGGAATATGGACAGTCGGCGCCTGGATACACTACCAGACAGCAAATCCAACCCATTAAATGCCACTTTCCCATCACCCAATTACTAAATTAAAATATAATATTTGAAATAAAGAATTACCTATTTTAATTTCATAATAAAATCATATTAAACTTACATTTAATGCAAAAAAAAAATATTCGTATGTAAAATTTAATTAAGATCAAAAACTTATTACTAAGAATTTTAAATAAGTTTTTATTTTTAAATCGAATATTTTTTATATATATCTACGTAGAGGAAGGATTTTTATTTATTGAAAAACAATAATACATGGATAACAGTATTCATATTTAAAAAATAATAATATTTTGGGTGACATTAAAATATTATAAAATGGTAGAGTGAATAAAAATCATTTTAAGTTCAATTTTATTACGTCACTTTTTTATATAATATCGGCACATGTAGGTTTGGGTCTATTGATCGTATCCGGATTAATACGATGAACGTAATTTATGTGATATTTACTGATGTTCAGAAAATGATGAAAGGAGAAGAACCGAGTAAATAAAGATTAGAAAGGATGGTTGTTGGTGTAACTTCAACTCTTTGAGCAATTTATCTACCTTTCATATTTCCATTTCTAAGGTTAGTAATCCATTCCCCTCTTTGTGTTCCTTATTAAATATAATATTAAATGTTTCCCAAAAAAAATTTATTTTCCAATTATGATAAAAATTCTTTTGAATCTAAGCCCCCCTGAATGTTAGATTTCTGCCCACCTTGGAATAACGGAATTATACAATTCTCTAAAATTCTACTAATACATGAGATGACTAAGAAAATAGTTCTAATTCCAGATTATTATGAAATTTAATGTTCCTAAATTACGAAATTTAATGTTCCTAAATTAAATCCTAATTATATTTGTATCAGGTTACCTGTGACTGCTTAGCCATTTGGGATGAGAAAGCTTACCAAAAACCAGAGGATCAATCCATTTCTTCATTTCGAAGATGAACCAGACAAAGGTGACTTTAACACCTACGATAATTTGTATATATCGATCAACATTGATAATCTGCAATCAATAATGTGTTTGTATGATAGGAAATAGAAAATATACAGTAAAAATACAATAATCATTAGCGATACAATCAGGAATGACTATTTGAATACTTAGGTAATTATAGTTTGGAATTACCTTTCTTAGTATTAGACCCTCAGTGAATCATGTCTTTAGAACTCATTTCGTGCCGTAAGAAACTGGAAATGTGCCATATAGCCTTCATCATGCTCAAACCGTAAGCTGAACATGAATATTGAGGTCTAATGACTATATAAAACAATTATATCTACCTCCTATAAGAGAATATGAATACGTTTTTATTAAAAAAAATCATGGGTTTTTTTTTCTCAGATTCGATACAGATATATAAACATATATATACCTATATACCATATACAAATATATATATATATATATATTCTGGGTTCATATATGAAATATTAATGAGTAATATGTAAAATTTAAATTATAATTATTTTTAGCATAAAGGATATGTTAATGTGCAATTGAACCTTAAACATGTTCATAGATTATTGAACATGATTATTAAGGTACAATAGCTTTAAAAAACATGATGTTAACATTCCAGATTTCAAAAGCACCGAAAAATAAAAATCTCCGGACTAACGTGTAATTTAGTTTAAGAAATATGGATTTTTAACATAGATCGTTGTTTTTCTCAAATAAAGATCAAATATTGGATGTGAGAAGAAGAAAAAATTCAGATCTGATATTGCATGAACAAAAATAAGTTAAATCTACTTATGTAACGAGTATTTCAGTTTAAGAAATATGGATTTTTAGCAGAAATCGTTGTTCTTCTCAAATGCAGATATGGAGCTTTAAAAAAAATTTGAACAAAACATAAAAAATTCTCATCTTTGAAATCAAAGGCTGTAGATATAAATCCCCAATTTCAAGATCTATAAATATTAGATGTGAGAAGAAAAAAATTCAAATCTGAGATTGTATGAAATTGAATAAAATTACCCCTTGCTGGAAATAAATGGTCGGAGTACTTCAAAAACAAAGATAGATGCCGGCGTCAACATCGGTAGTAACCAGATAACCATAGTTGACGATTCGAGTAGGCGGTGATTGCCCATCGACTAAGGGACGAAGGTGGAGGTTTCTAGAGAGATGTAGAGAGTCGTAGGCAGCGGCGGATAGGGATAGGTTATAGGAACGAAAGCTTAAAAACGTAAGGTTATTGGGCCCAAATTATTTTTTTCTGATTTAACATTACAACTGGGCCAATTTAACACACTGGGCCATGATATGTATACTTAAAATATACTATTTCCATCCTAAAATTTTCTTCTCAGTTTGACTTTTTCCCATTTTTAATTGTTGGCTTTGACTTTATATTTTACCCTCCTTAAAAAATATTTTAAATTTTTTTCAATCATTCAAAATATATAGTTAGAGTATAATTCGTGCAAATACATGATGGTATTAATGTCATTTGTTATCTTTTTTTTCTAATGGGAAGGTAGTTTTAGGACGGATAAAATGGAAAGTGGGAAAAAAAATTTAGAACAGAGAGAGTATTAAATTATTCTTTTGCTTTCATTTCTTTTAAAAAATCATGATATACTTTTTTTTTTACAAATATAGGAGGAATTGGAAGTTTAATTGATCCATGTTACAAGTGCAACAGTAATGAAGATTTACTTGATATGGAAATGTGTTGGAAAAGCTTTAGTGTCTCTGGTCATATGCGCTGCTTGCAAATTGGGTTTGATGATTTGGGTCCATATTTTTTTTGTGATCATTGTTCTATTTTACCACCTCCATTGCCGACTCCATTGCACTGCACTCCTCCGCCAATATTACCAAATCCGCAACCTATTTCACCATCTGGGCAAGGAATGGAATTAACACCTACACTCGCTTCGTTGAGAAGATCCAAACGGCTTAAAATAGCCAACAGGAAATATTTCAACAATGACTATGTTCTTTTTTATTAACCTAAAACATGTATTGGTGTGACAACTATTTGTATCCTATGTGTTTTGGTTTGAAACTTAGCGTCACTGTTACCTTATTTTGTAACGTTAATTATGTAGTGTATAAGGAATGTTTAATGTCCTAAATATTGCAAAACAATAATTATTTTGTTAGACATCATTGGTTGTTTTATTTGCCAAGATCCACCATTTTCTTTATTATTACTTATTTATATTTCGTTGGGCATTCGTATTATTTTATTATATTATCTCAGCATTGTTTACCGATTATTTAAAATTAGTAAGATGTTAAGTAAATATAAACTATATTAATTTGTATGTTATATTTTCAATTTTGTGAAATATATAGAAAATGGAAGTCCCCATACCGCTAAAGAGAATGAAAGAAGTTGTCGAAAGGACATGGAAAATTATACTACATCGCCGTTGAGCAACCTAACAAATGGTAAAAATTAATTTCAAGGTCTTACATAATTTTATAAAATTGAGTTTAATTGGAATATAAATTTCCTATTCATTTTATTTCCAGTTATGGTTTGTACACCGTTTGATCGATACTCTTCGTCTTCATCACGATTTGTTGATGCCTCAAATCATTTATATACGCCTGGTTGCACAACTCAACCTCAAAGCTGTATAACACAAAAAGAATCAAGTAGAGGAAGCAAACGAACATTTGAAGCTGGTATGTTTTGCGTAATTTTTTTCATATATGTAAAATGAATACATTTATTTTTTCACATTTAGCATCTTTTTTATATCAAGTTTTATACATTAGTAATTTTGAACATGGGCAGTGAATGGAGATAGCAGTACTCCTCTTATTTCGCCTGTTCTTACGGATGTGTTTATTACACAAACTTGGGGCGTTGATTCAGACTTATGTCATGGACCTTACCATCATGATCAAGACAAGGTTGTTAGGGATTTAGATTTGGAGTTTATGAATGCCATTGATCCTGACAATTCCCCAGTGATTGGGTCTTCTAGAAAGAGGTTTTCACAAATAGTCGAATATTGGGATCTTGGTGATTGTACTTACCAATGTAAAAGCTGCATGGCTTATTTTTGGCTAGATGAGCGTTTAGTAAGTCACTCTACCAAGAAAAATCCAAAGTATTCTTTGTGTTGTAAGCATGGAAAGATTAAATTAGCTCCAGTCAAGGAACCACCATCTCCACTCAAAGAATTCATTAGTGGAAATAATCCCCAATGTAGGCACTTTCAGACAAATATTAGATCATATAATTGCATGTTCTCTTTCACGTCGTTGGGTGGACGGATAATTAGAGATTCAACTCCTGGTAGAGGACCTCCAACGTTTAAACTGGGCGGGCAAAATTACCATCAAATCGGCAGCTTGCTACCATCCAATGGATTACTACCTAGATTTGCACAATTATACATCTATGACACTCAAAATGAAGATTTCAACAGAATTAGAGCTTTGAGGTACTTATTTCATACCATATAATTACTTTTGATTTATAAATTGTATATAATTCCCATCATATAAATATATTGCGTACTTTTAAAGCTTATTTTCATGAGTCCATTGTAAAATTTTCCTTATTTAATGTACAGGCCTGAAGACGATGTGCAAACGCTTCATGTTGAGATCGTGTCAAAGCTAAGATGCATGTTGGATGCTCACAATGTCTTAGTCCAGTCCTTTCGGATTGTTGGGCAAATGATAGGTGAGTCAAGTAGCTTGGAATACAAACTGAGGTTAATTGGGAAGAGAACTTCTGATCGCCGAGTTTACAATCTACCATCCGTAGGTGAAGTAGCGGCCTTAATTGTTGGGGACTTGGATCAAGCTTTAGGAGAGCGGGATATTTTAGTCAAAACCCAATCTGGACCTTTGAAACGGATTAGTGAGTTAAATCCTGCTTATCTAAGTCTCCAATATCCATTATTGTTTCCATACGGAGATGATGGTTATCGAGAAGATATACCCTTTGTTGAGAAAACAAACCTGAAGGTCGGGGGACGGAGGAGTGTGAGCATTAGAGAATTTCTGTCTTATCGTTTACACGAAAGGAGTAATGAAAGTACATTAATATTGCGAGCACGTCGTCTTTTTCAAGAGTTGTGTGTGGATGGTTATACGATGATTGAGTTATCAAGATTGACGTACATCAGTACCCACAAAAAAAAATTACGTTGTGACATGTACAATAGATTCTCAGATTCGTTGGTGCAAGGCGATAACGATACATCGACCAAAGGGAAAAGGATTGTAGTACCTCCTACGTTTGTGGGGGGTGCTCGATACATGATTCAAAACTATCAAGATGCCATGGCAATTTGTCGTTGGACTGGCTATCCTGATCTGTTTCTTACGTTCACATGTAACCCAAAATGGCCCGAAATTGAGCGTTTCTTAAATAGGAGAGATTTAAAGCCTGAAGATCGTCCAGATGTGATTTCTAGAGTCTTCAACATGAAGCTCAATGGACTGATAAAGGATTTGAAGAAGAACCAGATCTTTGGTAGACTACGAGCAGGTATTTTTCATAAATTTTTACGATATGCTATTTTTATGTAAATATCATCGTCCTTTTCTCTTCTCATATTTCACCTGCTATATTGTAGTTGTTTACACTGTGGAATTCCAGAAGCGTGGCCTACCGCATGCACACATCTTATTGTTTTTGGGTCAACAGGATAAGTATCCTACGCCTAAAGATATTGATGAAATAATATCTGCTGAGTTGCCTGATGAATTTAATGATCCATTGTACTTCAACGCGGTTCGAGACTTTATGATTCACGGACCGTGTGGAAGCGACGCACCGAGATCTCCTTGCATGAAGGATGGAAAGTGCTCCAAGTACTTCCCAAAGTTATTCAACGATAGCACGATTATTGATGATGATGGTTACCCAAAATATCGGAGAAGGGATGATGGCCGAACAATAATGAAGAACAATGTTTATTTGGATAATAGATTTGTGGTCCCGCATAATAGATATCTCTTGCTCAAGTATGGGGCCCACCTCAATGTGGAATGGTGCAATCAATCGCGTTCTATCAAATATCTGTTCAAGTATATAAATAAAGGCCACGACCGTGTTACAGCTGGCTTTTATGCAAGCACAGAAACGAGTGAGAATCAAAAAGCAGAAACTCCTAATGAAATTAAGCTCTATTACGATTGCAGATACATATCCCCTTGCGAGGCAACATGGCGAATATTTGGATTTCCAATTCAATTTAAATGTCCCAATGTTGAACGCTTGAGCTTTCACCTGCCTGGTGAGCAATGGATTTTCTTTGAAGATGATGATGATGCAGGTGAGGTTTATACTCGAGAAAGCATACGTGAAAGTAAATTCCTAGCTTGGATGAAGGCCAATGAAAAATATCACGATGCAAAAACTTTAACGTATGCTGAGTTTCCTCAAAAATTCGTTTGGAAACAAGCCAAAAGAGAGTATGAACCTCGACTGAGAGGATTTGCTATCGGTCGTGTCATCTACGTGCCCCCTGGGTCAGGCGAATCTTATTACATGAGGATTCTTTTAAATATAGTTAGAGGCCCAACTTCGTACGAATATTTGAGAACTGTGAATGGTGTTGTTCATGAGACCTATCGTGACGCATGCTATGCAATGGGATTACTAGACGATGATAGGGAGTACATCGATGCTTTCAAGGAAGCAAGTGAATGGTGTTCTGCCAAACAATTGAGATTCTTATTTGTCACACTGTTGACTAACGAGTCAATGTCCAGGCCTAAGCATGTATGGGAACATTGTTGGAATTACATGGCTGATGACATCTTATATCGTCAAAGAACTCTTTTGAATCATCGAGGTAATTATCTACTAATAGTTTTTTTTAACAATTCTAGCAAGTCTAATATATTTACCATTCTCATGCGCAGATTTAGTCTTAAGTGAAGATCAAATAAGGAATTATGCCTTGATCGAGATAGAGTGCTTATTGAGAATGCGAGCTAAAAGCCTTCGAGATTTCATTGACATGCCATTCCCAAGGTTAGATGTAGCTTCTACATCTCGGAACAGACTAATTCTTGACGAATTGAATTATGATCACGTTGCCTTAAAAGAAGAACATCAAAGGATGATTGGGGAGTTGAACCACGAACAACGTTCAGCTTATGAAACAATAATGGAATCCATTGATGGGGGTCATGGGAAGGTCTTTTTCATTTATGGCTATGGCGGAACTGGAAAGACATTCGTTTGGAAAACTTTGTCTGCCTCAATACGTTCAAGGGGAGATATCGTGTTAAATGTTGCTTCAAGTGGTATTGCATCGCTATTGTTACCAGGAGGAAGAACTGCACATTCCCGATTCGGAATTCCAATCAATCCTCATGAAAATTCCACTTGCAACATTAAACAAAAGACGCCATTGGCAGATTTATTAGTTCAAAGCAAACTTATCATCTGGGATGAAGCTCCAATGACCCATAAATATTGTTTTGAAGCTTTGGATAGGAGTTTACGTGATGTTATGAGTGTCGTCAATCGAGCCAATTCTGAGCGACCATTTGGAGGGAAGACAATTGTTTTTGGAGGAGATTTTAGACAAATACTTCCAGTGATTCCTAAAGGGCGGAGACAAGACATTGTCAATGCTACAATTAACTCATCATATCTGTGGGAATATTGTACAGTACTACGTTTGACGACCAACATGCGTTTGCAATATATGGCTCGAGATGACCATTTTGAGGCAATGTCAGAATTTGCCAAGTGGATTGCAAGTATCGGTGATGGACTTGCTGGGGAGGAAAATGACGGGGTTGGTCAGGTTATTATACCCGATGATTTGTTGATTAAAAGTACTGGTGATCCGATTGTGTCTATAGTAAATTCAACTTATCCAGACTTTCACAATATCGCGATTGATCCTACTTATTTGCAAAGTAGGGCAATCTTGGCACCAACTCTAGAAGTTGTGGACGAAATCAATGAATACATGACCTCATTGAACCAAACAGGAGAAGCTAAAAGTTATTTGAGTTCAGATGCCGTGTGTAAATCCGATTCAAATTTGGACTTCTTAAGTGGCATGCATTCTCCTGAATTCTTAAATAACATCCGAGCGTCTGGGGTTCCAAACCATGAATTGAAGTTAAAGATTGGGACACCGGTGATGTTGTTGAGGAATATAGACCAGTCGTCAGGTTTGTGCAATGGAACAAGGTTGATCGTTACACGACTTCAATCATCTAATTCAAGGTAAGGTCTTGACAGGGAAGAATATTGGTCAAGAAGTGGTTATCCCGCGATTGTTGCTTACACCATCGGATACCAGAATTCCTTTTAAATTTCAAAGGAAACAATTTCCGATTATGATATCTTACGCTATGACAATTAATAAAAGTCAGGGACAATCATTGACGCATGTTGGGCTATTACTAAAGAAACCTGTGTTCAGTCATGGACAACTTTACGTGGCATTATCACGAGTCACGAATCGCAGTGGATTAAAGATTTTGATTAATACTGAAGATCCTGCGACATCAAATAAAACAGCAAATGTAGTTTATAAGGAAGTTTTCCAAAACTTATAGTTGTATTCTTCCATTTACTGCATTAATTGTAAAATGCATCCTCTTAGATGTATACTACGTATCTTTGCTAAAACCAAAATGTTTCTCTTAATTATATCAATGTTTCCCCTAATTATATAATTAATACTAGCCCGTGCAACGCACGGGTTCGAGTCTAGTATATTTTAAAACTACATCAAATGTTCTACAAAACAAGGAGTGACATGACTATATTATTTCATCAAATAACTAACGAAAATAGATAAAGAAAGCGATTAAAGTTTAATAACTGAAAAAGTTTGATAACTAAAAACAATAACTGAATAAATAATTAGTAAAAAGAATAACTAAACAAGAACAAATTCTTACTCTCCCCTAAATGTAAATCACATTTCTTTTTCTACTCTTTTATAGTGTAATTTTTATCACTTTTCAATCACTATTCTTTTACTAGAATCTCATAATTTGTGATCCAATTAGAAAATACTACTCCGAGTAGCTTATATTCGGCACATAATTTTTTGATTGGTGAGGTAAAAATAAAAAGAATGAATTTTCAAAATAAACCTTTATAATTAGATATTTTTCAAATCAATCCTTCATAAAAAATAATTATCTAGGTGATACTTTATAATTTAAATTTATTTTCTTGGTAGTCCTTCTTAAAAACGTCCACCAAACGAGTATTAAATTTAGTATATTTTGATATTTTTCGGCATCTAAATAATGAGAAATATCTCAAAGTAGTCTTTTCTACTAAAATGGATGGACCGACTTTTAGGAATTTATTCAAATAAAAATCATGGTAAAAAATACTGTAAAAATCTCCGCACAGCTTCCGCTAGCAAGATAAGAGCAAGACTCCTCCCCTCTTACAGTTTCAAATACCTGAGGGTAATGACTGATGTGTACTGAGTATATTCTATTCATAAAGCACCCGGATTAAATTCTGTGTACTTGGCGGTACCGATACGTTTTCCATAAATTCTTTCTTTGTAAAGCTCCAAGTCCAACAACATGCAGGCATTCAAGTTGATTTATTACTCCTGCAAGTGCAAAGCGGTTTTCCATTGAAGGTCTGGGACAGGAAAACAAAAAAACAAAACAAAAATTTGATTTTTTTATTGTTGTCCAGAGAGAGATGAAAAATGAAGAACAAGCTCGGTCTCTCTTTGGGATTTCGCTGACCGAACGGCCCAGATGGCAGCAATTCCTTCTTTGCGTTTCTGGGTTTTTCTTTGGCTATCTTGTTAATGGAATCTGTGAGGTCTGTGTTCCTTCTTGAACAACTGAAATGCATGATTTTTCATTAAAGGAAACAGCTTTGATGTCTTCAAGTCTTTCATTTTGGATATGGGTTTTCTTTTATTTCCGTGTTTTGTTTGTGAATTTATGTGGTTTGGCATCTGATTGTGGTCACATTGCTTTCATGAGTGAGTTCCATGTTATTTTGTTCCTGAAAATTCAATGTCATGGGGTAAAACCTGGGTTTTTTCTGTCATTACTTCCTCGATCTTAGAAAAAAGCTTCACATTTCTTTTTTTTTTTTGCCAGAAAAAGACTCCACAAGAATTGTGGATTCCAATTGTTGATCTCATCTAAGTTTCAACCACACAATTTTACTCTTATTATGTGATCTGTTTGATGTCTCATTGTAAATTTCTGAATATTGCTGCATAATTTAGGAAAACCGATGACTAATTATTTGATTTGTTCGGTCAACTCACACGAGCATTGTGAATCTTGGTGCAATGGGGTGCTCTTTGATGTTTTTTCCGACGACCTTTTCACGGATTTTCTGTTTTAAATTCTTGAGCTGTGGTATACAACCTGATCTGTTTGCCTCATTGCAGGAATACGTGTACAATAGGCTCCAATTCAGGTGAGTTCACTGGCATTGAAACTCTTATGGATGAGTTGTTTCTTTCCCTCTGTGACTGGTTTTTGTTCTTTTAAAGTTTAACCATTCTCTGTTGATGTTTTTTTTAAACAAATTTTTCAAGCTATGGGTGGTACTTCACCTTCGTCCAAGGATGGGTTTATATATTCCTCATTTACCTGCAAGGTTTCACCACCAAGCAAATGGTGAACCCATGGAAGACTTACTTGACGCTCTCCGCTGTGCTCATGGGCTCACATGGACTCACAAAGGGCTCTTTAGCTTTTCTCAACTACCCAGCACAGTTAATGTTCAAATCTACTAAGGTGAACAATAATTTCCCTAATATTTGATTGTCTTAATCTGTCTCTATGTGTTCTTGAGCCAAGGGTTTTTGAGAAATAGCCTCTCTACGTACACCTGCCCTCTGACCCCGCGCATGGGACCTTAGGTGGTAGTTTTTTGTTGTTATAAATTGTAACGCGTATTTTCTGGTGTGAAATGTCTAGGTTTTGCCAGTGATGATAATGGGGGCATTCATTCCTGGATTGAAGAGGAAATACCCACCCCATGAATATATATCAGCGATACTCTTGGTTGTGGGCCTCATTATCTTCACTTTAGCCGATGCACAAACTTCCCCGAATTTCAGCATTATCGGTGTTGTGATGATATCTGGGGCATTGATCATGGATTCTTTTTTGGGGAATCTGCAAGAGGCTATCTTTAAGATGAATCCTGAAACAACACAGGTCCATTTTGAACATATACTGTTTTTTGTTGTTTTTTATGGTGTGTTTGTTTGGGAGAGATGGCCTTCCCATCATGTCCAGTCCAACCAAACACACCATAAGAGATTAGGAATTTGTCAATGTAAAAGAAGTTTGTGAATTTCATGAACTTGTTGAAGATGGAGATGCTTTTCTGCTCAACAATGGTGGGGTTTCCGTTCTTGATTCCACCAATGGTTTTGACCGGTGAACTGTCCAAGGCATGGACATCATGTTCTCAGGTAAAATAAGTTCTGGGAAAGAAGGGTCACATTTTTTGTCCCTCCCTCTAACAATCTAACGTTGTCACATGATTATCAATGTCGCAGCACCCCTATGTCTATGGCGTGCTTGTCTTTGAGGCAATGGCTACTTTTGTTGGACAAGTGTCTGTTCTTTCCCTCATTGCCCTCTTTGGCGCCGCAACAACTGCCATGGTACGCGTTCCCATTCCATGTTTTTTACATGCTTCCTTCACACTTTATGCGCGTGTTTGGCAATAATTTTCAACATTAGCTTTAGCATTTTGAAAAACATTATCTAATGATAGCAGTTAGGGTAGGGCAGGGCCCATAATGCCTCTAGGGTACCGTGCCCCAAATTTTATAGGACCCGACACGCCTTGGGTTTCTAATTTGGGGTGCATCACATCTAATGTTTAGGTCACAACGGCAAGAAAGGCGGTCACATTGCTTCTTTCCTACATAATATTCACGAAACCGCTAACCGAACAACATGGGACCGGGCTACTGTTGGTCTCTATGGGGATTTTATTGAAGATGATGCCCGATAATAAGCCCAGAAAACCGGTCCGCCTCATTGGCTCTGATGATGAATGGGAGAAGAAATCTCTAACAGAAGGTGATTTGGTTAATAGGGAACAAGATGATGAAAGGAAACCTTTGGTTTGAAAATGTTGTTATTTTTCATGCTCCTCAAAATGTTAATTGTGCCTTAGTGTTTTGGGGCACTTTCCTCTTCCCTTTCTTGTGTTGATGTTTTTAAGCTGTAATGGTAACTAATTATGTTGGTTAATTAGTTGAGTTCAATGTTCAAGTGTATACATACAAATGAATGTATTGCTCCGGGCAAGCTCGCCCTAAATTGAGAAAAATTGAAAAAAAAGGCTTTGTGCTAAAATATGGTTTAGGCTCTATTCATTTTTCAAAATCTGTCTCAAAATTAGTGTCAAGATTAAGTTTTATATTGCTAAGCTCTTTTTTTTGGTACGTATCGTTACGCATTGGCTATTGCCTATTGATATATCAATTTGTATATATGAAAAATTATCAGTTACTAAAAGGAAAATCAACATACAAATTACTCATTGGGAAGTTACCTAAATAATATTAAAATATAGTGACTTTCTCAATGTAGTATCATATGTTTTTATTTTTCAATGTAGTATCACTATTTAATGCCCAATTGTCATTGTTCATGTAAATATCCATCGCCACTAGACATTGTTCAAATTAAATATCCAATATCACTGGACATTGTTTTCGCTACTAGACATATTTTCAAGTACTCCGTATTATTTAAAAAATAAAAAAATTTAAGTATTACTTTGGGAAATGACATATGTTTTAATATTGTTTCATGTAAATTTCACATTATTCATTCCATTAGAAACTAAGGTTTTATTTTACTATTCACATGGCCACTTCATATCTACTTCGCTTTTGGGGAGCATAATCTATTGGTTACTTGATATATTAAATTATTAAATTATTTTTAATTTATATTTTCAAATTAAATTGATGCAAATTTTTAAATATATAAATTTTATCTTTTAATTATAGTCTAAACCTTCTTATCTAAGTCGATTTTTCTAGTGTGTTAAATAATATTAAAATATAGTGATTTTTCTAATGTAGTACCATATGTTTTAATTTCCAATATAGTATCACTATTCAATGCCCAGTGGTCATTGTTCATGTAAATGTCCACTGTTACTAGACGTTTTTCAACTTAAATGTCCAAAATCACTGCACATTGTTCCCGCTACTAAATATTATTCAGGTACTATTAGGGGAATAAAAAAGTTTAAGTAGTACATTGAAAAATGTTATATATTTTAGTATTGTTTCATGCAAATTTCACATTATTAATTCCATTGAAAACTAAGGTTTTATTTTACTATTCACATGGCCACTTCATATCCACTTCTCTTTTGCAGAGCATAATCTATTGGTCATTTGATAAATTAAATTATTAAATTTTTTTAAATTTATATTTTCAAGATCAATTTTTATGCAAATTTTTAAATATAAAAATTTTATCTTTTGATTATAGTCTAAACCCTTCATATCTAATTGGTTCCTCAATGACTTCTGTTTCAAAATTATCGTTCCAATTTGATTTTTGTGATCCTTTTCATCACAAATTAAATACTCCGTATAATATTAAATAAATGAATATTATAAAGACATTCTCTTGGCTTGAAAATAAACACTAAGGGGGTGTATCTAATCATGATTCTGATGGATTTTGTTAGATTCTGAAAATCTATAGGTATTCAATTCAGATTTTAAAATGTCATTTAAAATCTAGGTGTATTCAATTTAAATTTTAAAAAATCATTCTAAATATGATGGTATTCAAAATTCCAAATGTTGATGGATTTCAAAGATTTTTAAAAATAAGGATTTTGATTGATTTTAAGGCCTTGGATATAAATAAAAATCCACTGTCAAATCTCACGTAAAAGCTAAAGATTTCGAAAACTCCTCCACCTATGTATCCATGTTCTTAACGGAAATGTTAACAAAGGATAATTTGTGAAAATGAATATAATAATTGGGGACTAAATTAGTAATATTTGATATGTAGGAACTAAATTTGTAAAAAAAACGACCTATAACTAGGGATCGTTTATGGAATTTACTGTAAGCAATCTAAGCAATGAGATTGAATTATTTGAATGAAGTAGCGAGTATAAATACTGCGATGGCTTATTGTTATACTCCATATTAAGAGGGTGTTTGGCAGTGCGCTGCTTTTAACAATTTAGCTTGTGTTTTGAGTGGAAGTGATTTTACTATGTTTGGCATGTCAGCTTCTTCTTTTCACCAACATTATTTTGTACATGGAACACCGTTTCGGAGAAGCAGGTATGAAGTGCTTTTGCTTTCAGCTTTTGTAGAAATCACTTTATCAATAAGCTAATCATTCCCAAACACCCTCTAAGTACATATCCATCCGGCAATATTTCAATATATATTGGAAAAATTAAGTTGGGAGTTGTTCTTATAAAATAGTAATGGTGTTGTCAACTTGGGTGCCCCTCATAATCTTGGTTGTCGCCGTGGTAGTATACTGCCAGGGTAGGGAGGGGGCGGGAGGGGGGCTGGGGTGGGTGCGCAATGGTGGGGCTGGGGTGGGGGTTTGGGGAGGGTTAGGGGGGTAGGAACTGTTATTTTTACAAACGGGGCTCCGTAAGTACCCCAAACGAACTGGTGTAAGCAACTGGTGTATAAGTATCTGGTGTCATTTTAGACGTTCCATTATATATATATATATACACACACACACTCCATAATTATTACTCCCTATAATAATAATAATAAATAAATAAATAAATAAATACGGAGTGTGTGTGTGTGTATATATATTGGTTCTGGTGAGAATGCGATCTTAGGAGAGAAATGAGAATAAATCCGGTGCTTTAGATTGTGAGATTTAAGGGTCAGGATTGCATCAAAATTAGATGCACCAAAATGGTTTGAAAATGCATCACGTCGAAATGCATCAAAATCCTTTGAAAATGCACTATCTCAAAATCTAAGCGCAAGATGCAATCTGAGCCGCACGGTGCATCAGATCCAACGACTAGATTTTATTCTCATTTCTCTCCACAAGGTGCATTCTCACTAGAATCGGAATCCAATCTATTAGTTAGTTTAACTCAAGAGCTTATATACCGATTATTTTACTCATGAACTTCCGATGTGGGATGCACTTTAACACCCCCCTCAAGTGGACAACCGGGCCATTTTGAATCTAACCGGTTGACCACTTGCAAATGAACTCTCATTCCCTTGGTTTTTTTAGCGCCAACACCTAAAGGACCACGAGCCGCTGGATATGGACTTCCAGACGAGCAATCATGTTAAACGGGTCACAGACCGTTAGGTACATACTCCATACGGACAACTAGGCTAAAGACTAACGGGCCGCTAGGAATGAACATCTAGACGGACACCTTAACAAACGAGGTGGGCCAAAACATGTTCCGATTAGTTAGTTCAACTCAAGAGCTTATATATATATATATAGACACACACACACACACACACACACACATATATATCTATGTATGTATGTATGTATGTATGTATGTATGTATGTATGTATGTATGTATGTATGTATGTATGTATGTATGTATGTATGTATGTATGTATGTATGTGTGTGTGTGTGTTTGTGTTATTTTTTTATATATTTGCATTGAAACTTTTTGTTCATTCAATTATATATTCTTAAAGGTTTCAATCAAACGAAGGATGCGATGTGGGATCGGATCAAGAATAAGTTCTTTGTAGCGATGAACAAGGATGTCTCATACCAAATTCGAGACCAACTTACTTTCAAATGAGCCACATCAACCATAAAGTATGAAAATTTATTGGAATATGCGAGGAACGCTCTCGGTCCCAGAAGAGTGGGACAAACGATGCAGATGTTTAACGGCAAGTCACTGGTATGAAGACGACGGACACCAAAGCAAGGTCCCCGTCGATCTTTGGAGAATTTTAAGTCGTTCATCGAAATGGTAATAAATCAATAACCCCGAGGCCTGATCATCAAAGAAAAGATCTTCCACCGAGGTTGAGGCCAATGAGACTATCAACTCGTCAGAACAAAGGTCTTCCTTTAACCTAGATGACTTTGACAATGAAGTAGTTCCCATTCCGCGGCCGATCTGAAGGAAGAAGGCAAAATATATTGCCTCCAGTTCTGCAGGGTCCGGCTTTGTTTCTTCTCACGATGATATCGATTGGGCAATGGTTGAACAATTTCAGGTGTGCAATAATAGAGAAGAAGAGAGGGAGAAACGAAGGCAAGAGAATAAGGAAATCGAAATAATGGAAACTGATCTTGATACGTCAACAGGATTCAAGCGTATGCTTTACGAGAAAAGACAAAAAACGGTCAAGGCCAAATATAATTTGCCTTAGTATTTTGTGTGCTCTAAGACATAAATTTAAGAATCACTGTAACGAAAAAATTGGTTGTATAAATTTTTCAATAAATTTTCATCAATAGTCCTTTTTTTGACACTTGATTATTAAACGTATGCTTTACGAGAAAAGACAAAAAGAGATCAATGCCAAATATTATTTGTTTTAGTTTTTTTACTAATGCATTTTTTAATTAAATCTTCTCTTTGATTCAGTGTAATTTTTTTGTTTAGCGAATTATTATTGTTTAAATTTAATTAATTAATAAAGTTATATTATTTTAGTTTTACAAAATGTGTATTAAAAATGTAAAAAATAAAGGTTTAAAGCCTTGTGGCTTCAAACCCATTTCTAGTGAAACTATGAGATAAGTTAAAGCTAACGTGACAGAGAGAAAATTTTGAAGCTTCGGCTTGAAGTCCTAAGACTTCAAAAGTATTTTGAGTGCTCTAAGACATAAATTTAAGAATCACTTTAACGAAAAAATTGGTTGTATAAATTTTTTCAGTAAACTTTCATGTATAGTCCTATTTTTTGACACTTCATTATCACGTATAGCCTTATAATTGGTATTTTATAAGAGTGAATTTTTGTATATTTAATGTTTTATTATCAAATATTATGTCCGTGTAACCGTGGTAATCGTGTTTCTCTTTTTACAAGTACCTTCTAGTATTTCTACTCTAACACAATAATGTTCATACATTTTAGGTTGTGTTCCGTTCGCCTGATCTGATCTGATTTTTTGAAATTCTTATCTAATCTAATCTGATCTGATTGAATGTGATTTGTTCTAATCAGATTGGATCTGATCTGGTCTGGTCTAATCAGATCTGATATGAATTTGATTAAAATTGAAATTTTTATTATAATAGTTATAATAATAATAAAAATATTAATAATAGTAATATTAATAATAATAGTAGTAAGAATGGTAATAATAATAACTATAATAATAATACTTATAATAATAATAATAGAAATAATAACAATAATATAGATATTGATAATAAAAGCAATAATAATAGTAATAGTAATAGTAATAGTAATAATCATAAATATAATAATAATAGTAATAACAACAATAATAGAAATAATAATATAACAATAGTAACAGTAATAATAATATTTGTAACAATGATAATAATAATAGTAATTATAATAACAATAGTAATACTAATTATAGTCATTATAATAATAGTAATTTTAATTGTAATAGTAATAATAATAATGAACAATAATAGTAATAATAATAGTATTAATATTAGAAATACTAGCAATAATAGTAGTAATAGTAATAATAATAGTAATAATAAATATAATAATAATAGTAACAATAATAATATTATTAATATTAATAGTAATAATAATAATAATAACATTAGTAATAATAATTATAATCATAATAATAGTAATAACAATACTAATAATAGTGGTAATAATAGTAATAGTAATAAAAATCATAATATTATTTTGTTTAGATCTAATCTGATTGTATCTGATCTGATTTAATCTAGTCTAATCAAATTGCTTTTAATAAGAATAAAAAATAAGTTGAATGGAAGAGTGTCATAGTCAATTCAAAGTTGCTACCACAAGAACGAGAGCCATCGCCCACAACTCCACCCATTCTTAGGTTATACTCATTCTATCTTAAAATTAGCTTTATATTTGACTTTTACGAATTCAACACTATAACCAATAATATACTACGTATTTATTTATATATAATTATATATTTTAAATGTAGAACATTTCAAAATGAATGTATTGATATTAAATTTAAAAAAATCATCTTAAATATAAGTAAAATATAAAAAAATACTCCTTCCGTCCTAAAACTTTCTTCCCAGAGCACTATTCCAATTTCACTGAAATTTATATTTATATGTGTTTTTTCATGGCCTATATGATAAAATAAAATATTTTTGTCACCACTTGTTTTGTTGAATTTTTGATGTAGTTTTTAAATATGTATGTTTTATTTTTTATTTCTATACCAATATTTAAATAAAATAGATTGAAAAAATTTGGGATTTTTCTTTGTTTTGCGCAACGGGAAGAAAGATATAGGACGAAGGGAGTACCAAATAAGAGTTCAAAACATACATTGCAAAATTGACAAGAATACTCCCAGAAATTACAGATTTTACATAAATACTCTCAAATTTATTTATTTACACCATTACTCTCACATTTCTCTTTTATTTACATCATTACTCTCAAATTTGGTAGTGATCATTAGTGTTACTTAGATGTGTCTTTTTTGCGTTAAGTGAACAGTTAAAATGCAGACATGTATTTTTTCACTCTAATATACCATATTCACCTCAACTTATTCTCTCCATCATCTTTCTTACGTCTTAGTAAGCCTAATCATTGCCCTTATTTCCCATACCCATTTTAAAAAAATTCAGATTTCAAACTTCCTAAATCTTTTTAATGTTTAATATCAAGTCTGTTCATATTAATTTAATTTGATTCAATAAAAAAAGATGAAGAACCCCATATAAAAAGGCGCACTTGAGAAACACTGATGATGAAGCAATCACGGAATAAAGACGTAAATAATAGACAAATGTAGGAGTAACTGTGTAAATAAACAAATTTGGGAGTATTTATGTAAAACCTGTAATTTTTGGGAGTATTCTGGTGAATTTTGCCTTTATTATATTTTTGATAATGTTCATTATCGATAATATAAATAAATTTTAATTCTTATTTAAGAATTTAAAACATAGAAAATGAGTTTATATACAAATTGAATGTAATTTTTAGGGAAAGATTTGGGAATTTCTCGGAAGGGGAAAAACCAGTAGCGTTATGCTGCGGTAGATTCTTGATTCTTCTATGTCAGTGCTTAGCTTGCCATCGGATCTTCCTGAATAGGATCTCAAGTTGATGCGAGGTCAAAAATGGGTCATTTGGGTTTATCTTCCTCCCAGCGGAGCGCGCGGAAATGGCAGCTGCTTGATTTTGCGGTCGCAGCTTTCTTCGCGGCGGTGCTGATTTTCTTCATCCTCGTCTTCACGCCACTGGGTGACCCTCTGGCGGCGTCCGGCCTGCAGGCGCTCCTCTCCGGGGATCCGCAGCACCGCAACCGCCTTCTCGCGCTAGTGGAGGAGTCCGGCCGGGAGATGGCTCCGATCCAGTTCTGCCCTGCTGATTATGTGGACCACATGCCATGTGAAGACCCCAAAATCAACAGCCAACTCAGTCGGGAGATGAATTACTACCGGGAGAGGCACTGCCCCTCGCCGCAGGACACACCCCTCTGCTTGATTCCGCCGCCTGAGGGATACCGAGTTCCAGTTCCTTGGCCAGAGAGTTTGCATAAGGTCAATTGTTTACTCTGTTATTTTCTTGTGTTCATTTCGTTTCCTCACTGGGCTTAATCCATTCTCTATATCTTTATGATGGCCTAATTTGTTCTTAATCGGATGGTTGTAATGAATTGATACTTCCTATGTCCCTGGAAAAGGTTTCTGATTTGCCTCAGTATGTTTGGCAGACTCTATTTTTAATTTAATTTATTTGGAAACTGGTTTAAAATTAAAAAAAAAGATTAATATATACAAACTACATCAAAATTTCTTAACAATCACGACTGTTTAATTTTGCCAAATGACTATTAAAAAGATGTAAGAAAAGAATATATGATTTGAATGTGTGAATGAAGCCTTATTCTTAGAGGGAGGGAGTAATAATATGTTTCATGTTTAATTTAGTGCGTGATTTTAATTGATCGTTGTCTTTTCAGTGTAGTGACGGGGCAGTCGTCCTATGCTGAATGTCCTAACCCTGTTTTCCTCAAGTGTAGTAAGGTAGCGATGTCCTTTTGGCGATTTCTTCGAACTTTTTGTGTGTGGAAGTTCTAATGATATGATTCAACTATTCAAGTTTAAAAGACTCCATTTTGACATTACCTTTTAGTGAGGGGATGCTTTTGGCAATTAATGTATTTTATGAGCAATGATTTTGTGTTGTGCACATTGCAGATATTTCACGATAACATGCCTTACAATAAAATAGCTGACCGGAAGGGTCATCAGGGATGGATGAAAAGAGAAGGCCCGTACTTCATATTTCCCGGAGGTGGTACAATGTTTCCAGATGGGGCAGAACAATATATTGAGAAGCTCAAGCAGTATATTCCTCTAGATGATGGAGTTTTGAGGACAGCTCTTGACATGGGATGTGGGGTAGGCACTTCATTTTGTTTCATTGAACTCTTTGTTTTGTAATGCTCCAAATCTCAACCCATTTTTGGTCGTTGTAGGTTGCAAGTTTTGGTGGTTATCTACTTGCCAAAGACATAATGACCCTTTCTTTTGCTCCAAGAGATTCACACAAATCACAAATACAATTCGCTTTGGAGCGGGGAGTGCCTGCACTCGTTGCGATGCTTGGGACTCGCAGGCTCCCATTTCCTGCTTTCTCGTTTGATTTGGTGCATTGTTCTCGGTGTTTGATTCCTTTCACAGCATATAGTATGTTTTCTGTATCTCTGCCCATTCTTGTTGCTCTTATCTCATCACCAATGCTTCTGATTTTAACACAATTGGTTAATTGCAGATGCAACATACTTTATAGAAGTTCACAGGTTACTTCGCCCAGGAGGCTACTTTGTTATCTCTGGTCCTCCTGTACAATGGCCCAAGCAGGAAAAGGAATGGTCAGATCTTCAATCTGCTACCAGTTCATTGTGTTACGAGTTGATTGTTGTGGATGGTAACACTGCCATCTGGAAAAAGCCAAATGGGGATTCATGTCTTCCAAACCAAAATGAGTTTGGGCTTGAATTCTACGATGAATCTGATGAACCAAGTGTTGCATGGTGATGATTCTTATGCCCATCATCTTTAATTGACATTTCTTTATCTCCATGTTCTTAGACGCGGGCAGATACAGCTTCCATCTTGAAAAGTATAGCTTATATGGTTCTCACGTATGCAGGTATACAGAGCTGAAAAAATGTGTCAGCAGGACATCTGTGAAAGGAGACTATGCTATTGGATCAATCCCAAAATGGCCACAAAGGCTTACAGAAGCTTCTTCAAGGACCACAGTAATAAGAAGTGGAATCGACATTTTTGAAGCAGACAATAGGAGATGGACCAGAAGGGTAGCATATTATAAAAGCTCATTGAACTTGAAACTAGGAACTCCAGACGTGCGGAATGTCATGGACATGAATGCATTTTTTGGTGGCTTTGCTGCAGCACTAATATCCGATCCTGTTTGGGTGATGAATGTTGTTCCTGCCCATAAGCCATTAACACTTGATGTCATTTATGATAGAGGCCTTATTGGAGTTTACCATGATTGGTATGTCATTTCATAATTTTTTAATTCCCCATAAGATCTTGAGTTCATGTGATTTTCTGATCCAGATCCTTGTGAGCTACATGCTCATTACTAAAACAAGAGAAGTTGGTAAAGTTATTTGGGTCGGAGGGAGTAAAATCCATTTGGAGAGGAAATCTTCTCTAAGCCTGCCCAAATAAACCATGCACGTTCAAATAAAAAAGCCCATCCCAAGAAACTAAAGGATATGATTAGCTTTAAAATTAATGGTTGATTATGTTATTGATGTTTAGGTGTGAGCCTTTCTCGACATACCCTCGGACATATGATCTGATTCACGTAGTTGCTATCGAATCTCTTACAAAGGATCCTACTTCAGGCAAGACTAGGTATGTATTGTTTTATTGATTTAAGTAAAATTCTATCTTTGAATTTGCGTTTGATGATATTCTTCAAGTAGCTATAACTTATGAATTCTTTTTCACTAATCTTCATTTTTTTCTACGCCTAAATTACCTCTCATTTCTTTTTAAGGAAAACATTATGTGGTTCATATATTGTTTTCTCTCTTCTAAATATATCTCAACCACACTTTTGATTTTCTTAATCTCCACTCAGTCACAGTTTTTTTTGTTTAGATATGGGGGACTGAGGGGAGCAACACTTTAAAAAATATCTCCATCGTGATTTTTTGTTAGACGTTTATGGTTTTATCATGAAAGAGTTTTCTTACCCAAGGGTGCATTAGTCTCCCAAAAAAGTTTGTAGTTTTTGCATGCATGCTTTCTGTGATTTAGGTCTCTTCGAAATAGTCTCTCTACTTCCAAGTAGGGGCAATGTTGTGTACAAATGTCTTGTGGGATTTTACTTGGTTTATTGTTGTTCTTGGGGGCATTTGTCTCTTAAAAAAAGTTTCTTGATATAATAAAAGGGTATAACTTCTACTCGGCACTTTGGAACCAAAACACAATTTGGCCTGATTTGGGAAACAAAAGCTTATGTTGCAGTCCCATTTCCTCTAACTTATTATATTTCCAGGTGTAACCTTGTGGATTTGATGGTGGAAATTGATAGAATATTGAGGCCGGAAGGAACAGTGGTAATTCGAGATACACCTGAAGTGATTGACAGAAGCGAGCGAATAGCACATGCTATCAGATGGACCCCAACGGTTTACGAAAAAGAACCTGGCTCCCACGGGAGCGATCGAGTTCTGGTAGCCACAAAGAAGCTCTCAAAACTATCTTCAACCTCGAGCTGAAGTGAAATTCTCACACGTCTCACACGATGACCCGTGTATCTTAATGTACAACATGTAATGCATGAGGTACGAGGACTCAATGCTTCTTCGGCTTCATCTGTATTGGTTTTTGTATTGTCACATACTTTCATCTCTAGTACAGTCTGCCTTAGTTCAATCACAAAATTCTCTTTGAATTGAAGGCATGATAGAGAAATTGAAAATGACAAAAGGGAAAAAAGTTGGGAAATTGTCTTTGGATGTAGTCAATAAAGCTAGGCAAAGTTTTTCTTGGTCTAGAAAATGCAGAACAAAGAATGATTTGGTTGGACTAGCTTGCCAAGGAAGAAGGGATGTGATGATGGCTAGTAGGGATGGGCAAGAATCTTGGTCATGTTCTATTGTTCCAAAATATTCTGGTCTCGTCTACATATTCTGGTGCCGTGTTCGGTTTAGGATGATGAAATTTTGTCCCGAACCGAATCTGTCCCAATTAAAAGTGGAATAGAACAATTGGAAGGGTGTAATGATGGTGAATACTATATAGGCCAACATTGATGATTAACTTTTCATGTTATTCCCATCCATTTCAAAATTGATTTAGCTTTTTTTTTGGTGCATTTGGAGTAGCATGTTTTGTTCTTTTTCAAAAAAGCATTGAATGAGTTGCACTTATTTTTTTGTTCTTTTTTCTATATAAATTTCAATCATATGATCTCATTTTTCTTAAATTTTGTAAAAAGGCAAACATATTTTTCCTTGGACGGGAAAAGTAGAAACTCCCTTTGTTCTTTTTTAATAAAAAAATGCTAGGGTACACCAAAATGTGTACCCCAAATGTACCTTTATCACACAACAAAGTGTTGATACAAAAAATAATGGAAAATGCTAGGGGTACACTTTTAGTGTACCCCAAACATCCCCCACCCCCTCCATAACCACACAAAAAAGCAAGTGAAGTTAAAAAAAAAATTAAAAATTAAAATAAAATAAAATGAATGGTAAAGAGTGAGGTGGTGTACATTTGGGGTACACCTTTGGTGTACCCCTAGCATCTCCCAAAAATAATACTCCGTAATAAATAAATAAAAAATGTATAGTTAGAATGAATGGTGTACAAATGGGGTACATCATTTGGTGTACCCTAGCATTACTCCTTTTTTAATACTTTCTATGTCCCATAAACATCTTGTTTTGATTTTTTTAAGCAAATAGTGACACCCTTTGTGTATAAATTAAATAATTAAATGCTAATTAAATATGATAAATCAAAACTTGTCCTAATATGAGCCTAATTATATTGAATTTACATCATAACTAAATATACTTTTTCACAATTTGTTGTCAAAGGGTGTCAATATTTACTAAAAAAAGTTAAAACATAAAGGAGTTTATGGGACGGAGGGAGTACGAAGTATCTCCTTTGTTGTCTATAGAGTCAAATTATATCTTTTTCTCTATATATTTTAATCGATTATTTGGTAAGCAATAGTCATGTGCCTTATACATATGCATTTTATTTTTTTAATTTTATATTAGTATTTAAGTCAACTGTGTTTATATATATAATGTGTACTTTTAATGTTGTTTCTGATGTCTTCTTTCTTAAAACTTTGATATTGGTGGCTCATACCATGGCTAGGCATGCTGGTGCTCGATTGGTTTTGTGGGAGCTTTTGCCACCTTTTTTTTTTTTTGTAATTGAAGTTTGCTTTTTTTTCAAATACTTTATTTTATCTTTCATGTAAATTATTTTTTCTATCTCAAATTAATCTTTGCATTTTCTTTCCTAAAAAAATCTTTACATTCTCTTAAGGTTATTTTAAAATAAGTTTTACACTTTTTTTTTCATAATATAAAAAATTGAAGGCCCACAACTCGTTTTCTTTCCAATACGGAGTAAATTTTAACTACCTAGGTTTTATTTTTTTTTTCATTTTTTATTCTCTCTAAAGTTGAAGTGTTACAATTGATTCTGAACAACAGAACAAGACACTTGTGAAACATTGGAGTACTATATTCTAATTCATTTTACATGTCTATTATTGTATAGAATATATTGCTGGTTAAAGTTATGCATGAAAAAGAAATGAACAATTTAAAAATATGGAAATAAAAAAACACAGTAATCAATTATATAGTACAAAGTATTTAATTATCCAAAATCAAATTATTCTAAAATTGGTATAATAAAAAATAGAATCAAAATGAAATTAGCTTTTACTCTGTAATTCGTAATAAATTAAGAATGACTTTAGGAATACTTTACATTCTCACGGAGAGACATAACCTTCGTTTTCAATTTTAGTACGAAAATTTTAGATAACTATTTTTAAATGATAAAAATTATTTTAAAACATTAAAATTAAACATTGTTGTTGGTTTATTTCATCAAATGTTAAACCAGCGCAATATATACCGTACAACCAGTTGTACGATACTTTCCGTACATTTGCAGTGAGTACTCATTTACGGGCAACTGAATACTTGTTTTTGAGTGACTGAGTACTCAATTTTCTAAAATTCATTTATACTCGTAGATGAATATTTCGTTATTCGAAAATAAATACTCAAGCGGATACATACAAAACATCGTACATCCAGATATACAATATAGATATTCAAAAATAAATGCTATCAAATTGCTAAAGATGTCCATAAACAAGATTAGACTTAATTAGTGTTAATGTGGGCTCCTTAAAGAGAGTAAAGAAAACTCCTTATCTTGTAAACCGCAATTGGAATTGTGGTCCACATTGAAGGCCATTTCCGGGAGATTGTCCCATACATTGTTCAATCAAATCTCACTCTCCAATCATATGACCTTCAATCGGACGGTTCACAACCCACCTTTGACTACAAGTACAACATGTGGTTGTGGTAAGTGGGAATCATTGGCCTCAGTCCCCACATTTGACCAGACATTTCTTTATGTTTCTTGCATTTGAATTTTGGGGAGAGAGAGAGAAAACAAAGCCAAAAGACAACAAATGGGAGAGAGATTTCACTGAATATCATTCAATTCTCTCTCTTTTCTCTTCTTTCTATTTTTTCCTCTCTCTCTCAAGAAGAGGAGGGAGAGAATCAGAAAACCCCCCAAAATCATTCATCCCACATTTCATCTCTCTCTTTCTCTCTGTTTCTGCATTCTTGAATCTTCATTGGAGAAGAAAAGACTATTCAAGAAAGTTTTCTGGGTTGAAAACTTGCGAGAGAGGAGAAAAAGGGAGAGTCTTTGGGCACAGGAAAGATGAATGTCATGCGTCGTCTCAAGAGCGTTGCTTCTGGTCGCTCTTCTGTTTCAGATCCTGTAATTTTCTCTCCATTATTCTCCTGCATGTAAATCTGTTCTTTCTATTTGCATTCTATGTGAAAGTTCTGCCATTTGATTTGGATTTACAATTATTGAGCTTTAAGATGAACATAATGGTGGGAATTGGGAAAGATTCCATTTTGTTGGCAATCTTAGCTCGAGTGAGGAAATGGGTGGTTTTAAATTTTCTTTTCTGTTGATTTTCTGCTTGATTTTTACTTAGATTTGTGTTTTTACTTTTGTTCACATTCTACAGGGAGGGGATTCCAGCATAAAGAGAGTGAGAGTTGAACAAGACGACGACAGGAGGATTGCCGGTGAGCCTGAGGTGGAACAACAAGGCTTCACTGCTGCTCCTATGCAAGAAACCATTTCCACATCTCAGGAAGAGGTCTCCGGTGCATCAATTGCAGCAAGACCCGAGCTTTCCGGATACGAAGAGCTCCCAAATGAAATGAACGAAATGAAAATTAAAGACGACAGACTTGACAACCAGAACAACCTAAAGGTGTGATGATGAGTTGATGACAATGTTGATTTCTTAAATGCCACTCTCTTAAGCTGATGATACCCTATTTGAGTTTTCCTGTGGTTGAATGTGTAGTACTCATAATTGGTATACTTTCTTTCTTCGCAGGATATGGAACCCTCAGTTGTCAGCGGTAATGGAACTGAAACAGGCCAGATAATTGTAACTACTGTAGGTGGTGGCAATGGACAACAGAAACAGGTGAACCTTGGTTTGGGCTTTTTGCTGTTCTTGAGAATTTGGACACTTTTTGAAGTCTTGTATAATGTTTTCTTGTAATGGTGGAAATGATTTAGGGTTGATATCTTGCACCTGCAATTATATTTTGCTTTCTCGGGGGGGTTTAGGAATGCTATGTAGTATGTACCCCCTCAATTTGCTAGAGAAAAGTGTACCAGCAATAATATTCTGTCACGTGTTCAAAGTGATTTTTTCTGTTTTTTATTTTCTTTTTTCTTTTGCAACTTTGAACATGAACAAATATTATATGGGGTGCAATTTGGATTCTCAGGGTGAAAGTGCACATAGTACTCTTCAGGAATGACATGATGGGCTTGTTCATTAGATTATTTAAAATATTTTTTATTCAAGACTAACCAACCTTTTTGATTGTAGGCATTGTCATACATGGCGGAGCGTGTGGTTGGCACTGGTTCTTTTGGAGTTGTTTTCCAGGTACAATGGGATATCATTACACGAAAACAAAGTTTTATCATCGTGAATGCAGTGTGTTGATTATTATTTCCCTTTTGTGGTTAAATCTTAGGCAAAATGCCTTGAAACTGGCGAAGCTGTTGCAATAAAAAAGGTGCTCCAGGATAGAAGATACAAGAACAGGGAACTCCAGATCATACGCATGCTTGAACATCCTAATGTTGTTCCATTGAAGCATTGTTTTTATTCAACAACTGAGAATAATGATGTTTACCTTAACCTTGTCTTGGAGTATGTTCCTGAAACGGTTCATCGGGTGTCAAGACACTATAATCGAATGAATCAACCCATACCCGTCATATACGTGCAACTGTACACGTACCAGGTGAATTTTTTACTAGGATTACACCTTTATTATTGTCTGAATTATCTCATGTGCCCATTATCTTTTAAAACTTTTGGTCCTTCGAACTTTACCTGGTTTTCTTTCTTTATAGATTTGCCGAGCTTTAAATTACATTCACAATGTGATTGGAGTGTGTCACCGCGATATCAAACCACAAAATCTATTGGTTTGTGTTTTTCCCTCCCCATTTGGAAATACTCTCATGTTTTCACCATGTCATTTTTGAGTTAAAATTGCATTTTTTTTTGGAATCTGCAGGTTGATCCTCATACTCACCAGCTTAAGATTTGTGATTTTGGGAGTGCAAAGATGTTGGTAAGTGTTAACTCCACTCGGCTGGATAACTTCTATTGTTTATGAGTTGGTAAATTTATCTGTTCCATTTTAGGTGCCTGGTGAGCCAAATATATCATACATTTGTTCCCGCTACTATAGAGCCCCGGAACTGATCTTTGGAGCTACGGAATATACCACTGGAATAGACATGTGGTCTGTTGGCTGCGTAATGGCTGAACTACTTCTTGGAAATGTAAGTTTACTAATATTCTTTCTTTCTTATGTCTCCCATTCTTGAAATGTGAGTTAACATTCTCACCCTTTTTTGGGGTATTTTGGCTCATTTTGGGCTAATTATCCCAGATTTTAAGTTCGCTTTACATGGATCCCTCAATTTCTTAGGCGTATCTGGGATCAAAATGTAATCTTGGAGTATTCGTTTGATAATTATGTAATCTTAGAGCATTCTTCCAAAATCTCAATTTTCTTGGGAGTATTGACATGAACTTTTCCTAAAATAAGTCATGTATAGTCTCCAACATATACAGATGGTTTAAACTTCTTCTGACACAGACTGGTTTATTTCGCGCAGCCGTTATTTCCTGGCGAAAGTGGAGTTGATCAACTAGTTGAAATCATCAAGGTATGTTGTCAAATCACTTGTCATGTCACGCGCTCATTTTATGCTCTCCACTTTGTGCTCAAGCTGATAAGTGTCTAAATGTGCACCAGATTCTCGGGACCCCAACCAGGGAGGAAATAAGGTGCATGAATCCAAACTACACGGAATTCAAGTTCCCTCAAATCAAAGCTCATCCTTGGCACAAGGTTCATTACCTTATCCCATCCTTCAATTCTAGCCTGAATAATCCTATTGTCAAATTTTATGATAGAAGCCATGTAAAACGTCTCTGAAACATCCTCAAATGGCTTAATTACTAAAAAACATCTTATTTTTTCAGGTTTTCCATAAAAGAATGCCACCCGAGGCAGTTGATCTGGTTTCAAGACTGCTGCAGTACTCACCGTCTCTGCGCTGTACTGCTGTGAGTTGATCGATTTCTCTTCTTATTTTATTTACGACTTGTTCATTTCTGTTGAGTATATTGTCTAAAATTTTGAGTTACTCTTATCACCAATTGGTTTTGGGATGGTATCTCATAGTTCTATATAATTCAACGGATTCCTTGTATTTGAACTAAATCTAAATTTCATGGAATCAACAAAAAATTGTACAATTTAGTTCTAAAAATAAGCTTTAATTAAAAAAACAGGTCTTTTATGCAGTGTATTACGGAGTATAAAGAATCTAAACCTCTTCTTTCTTCCCTTTTTTTCCAGTTGGAAGCTTGCGCACACCCATTCTTTGATGCTCTAAAGGACCCAAACGCGTGCTTGCCAAACGGGAGACCTCTGCCTCCATTGTACAACTTCACCCCCCAAGGTCCGCATTTCACTCCAATCTTCATATGGTTTTCTATTTTTACAGATAGTGAGTGTTAATCTGTGTTTATAAGCTGATCAAGACTGCTTCTATGTTATTTTTAACTTATAAGTCACTTGATGACATGTTTCTGCGTGCTTATAAGTTGACTTATAAGTTGCTTGGCCAATAAAAATAAGGTCTTGCTTATTTTTAAGCCAGTTTTTTCGTTTTTCCGTATTGACCAGATCATTTTCAAAAGTATCCTCACCTCCTGTCATGCTCAAATGACATATATTATTTAAGTCATTTTATCTACACCCTTATAAGTTAAAAATTATTTATCAGCAATAAGTCAATAAGCACCAACACAGACTATTTCTGAATAGGGGTAAAGTGTGTGTACACATACCCTCCCCATACCCTAATGTGTAAGGGATTTTCTTGGGTTTTTGGTCGTCGTATGCATCTTTCTAATTGAGAGCCAATCATTATGCAGAGCTCGCTGGTGTGCCTGCTGAACTGCAAAACCGCCTTGTGCCCGAGCATATGAAGAAATGAAAGAACACATTTTTTTGAAGAGGTGCTCTCATTGTGATGCTACACTGCCCAAGCAGGAAATGGTCAGAGTCCTATCTGGGAATGGCAATACTTCTGGAGAAGGCAACGATGGATCGTGTTGACCCATCAAAGCAGCGGGCAAGACTCGGGCAGAGGGATCGGTCTCTGGGCAGCGACACTTTCTTGTATCTATAGTTGTTTCACTTTCCATGCAGTGTATATCATCATCAACATCATAACAAGAAGTGTTAGAAGTTCTTTAGTGGGCAATGAATGTATGGGTTTTGGTTTGTGAGTATTTGGTTGCCATTGCCAACTTGCTTCTGGTTTTTTACTCATCTCACAGGCTATTGTGAAGTTTTTATTTAATTCATTTTTTGAATGAATTAATGCAATTTTTAGTTGTGGTGGATCTTTTTTTAAATGAATATCAGTATTACGAGTAGATATTAATTCAATTTTAGTCATGACAAATTCATTTTTTCAATGAATTAATTCTATTTTAGGCATGTCAAAATATTACCTCAGACACTAATCCCCACTCCCCATAGTCACAACTCTGGGCTTGTTTTTTTATTTGATGTGAATGGTTTAGATTTAATTAGAATAAGTTTTGATATAATCTAAATGTAATTATATTTAATGTTATTTTTAATTTGAACTGAATTAAGCAGATTTCAAAAACACTTTGGCTATTTTTGGTTCGATCGATTTAATGGTTTACCAGTTTGTAGTGAATATCAACCAGTTCAGATCGGTTCGGTGCAACTATCAATCCAACATTCCAACCTCTCACATCGGACTAGTCTGGTAAATAGTAAATATTCAGGTATTTTAGTGTTCAGTGAAAAAAAAGAAATATACTAAGGTATTTTTCTGGTAAATAGTAAATACTCAGGTATTTTCCTGGCGAACACAATTTAGAAATACGAAGAAATAATTGGAAGTTGATATATACGCTCCATCATTTACTACCGGCGCTCCATCCTTTAAATTCTTTTCATACATGGACACTTATGCCCCTCTTGGTTGAACTAAGATTTTTCCTACTAATAATGTTCTTTCTCTTATTAATTGTAACTCCATACAAAGTACCCAATATAAAGAATTAGAAAAATTAAAATATATTGATAGAAATTGAAGAGTTGGAAAAAACTTCAATGAGTTGAAAAAATTGAGAAAAATTAAAAGTTTTGAAAAAAATATTATATTATATTTGTGAAATTTCATATTTTTATTAAAATAATTTATCCTTCATCACTTGTTTGGTCTATTGTTTATGTTCATTTGATAAAATAATAGTCATGTCACCTCTCTAATTTTATAGATATTTTGATGTTGTTTTTAAATATGTAATTTTTATTTTTTTAATTCCACACTATTTTTTATAAAATGATTTGAAAATATCTTCTATCAAATATCGTAATGAGTAATGAAAAGATTATTTTTGGATGGAAGAAGTGTATAACGACACATTTTTATAAATGAATATTGTATGTTATCATTCATAAATGAATATTGAAATGTAGTCATTTACTCAAACCGTAGTATAGCAATGTAAAATGGAAACCAAAAACACTACCCTACTTCCTACTCCAAATAAAAGGGTATAACTGTCCATGTTTGTTAAATATTACAAGGGTGGAGTGCCCCTATCAAATAGTGGAGCTCAAATATCAATTCCCAAATAATTGAAACGGTGTTCAGCGAACACGGTATACGTCTGCACGCTGTCAAAAGAAAAGGAAAAGTCTGCCTCTCTTATCTCTCTTGGACTTCTTTGTGTGTACGTTTAGCGTTGTTGAAATCAAATCTGTGTTCAGCGAAAATGATTTGTCTTAATTTTTTAATATAAAAACTCGGTTCAATGAACACGACTTCACATCCAACATCTAAAGTTTATATCCCATTCTTAAAATTTTTGATGTTTTTGCTAATAATTTGCGGTATGTTTTTATCTATTATATAGTACTAAAATTATATGATTTAAATATATTGTTTTATTAGTAAAATTTTGTTCTTTCATTGACATTTTTATGTAGATATGGACGACATACAATGTCAACTTGCCGGTCTGATGAACGTTGCTATGCTCACCCTCAAGACACTCATTGATCCAGTCGCGTTTGGACGAAACTAGATTTTGCAGACAAAAAAGTATCGGTATGTTGAAACGATTCTCGTATTTTAGAAAAATTTAGGGATGATACCGTGGAGCAAATCTTAAGAAGTCCTGGGTTTTATGGGGCACATCCGGTGCACCCCATGAAAATAGACCATAGTTTGATTCTGGTTTCATTGAAAGGTGGAGGCCCGAAGTGCATGCATTTCATTCTCGTTTGCTGGACTTGGTATTACTTTATAGGATGTTGAATGTTTAATGAGTTTAAGAATGGGCTGGGACCTGTAGCTTTTGAGGAAGTGGTTAATTCGAATACTTATGTTGAACTTTTTCGTGAAGTTATTGGATTCCAAATAATGGACTATCATATGATGGTCCATGATATAGTTAAATCTGACTTGTCCAATATGATGGTCCGTGATCTAAAAGCCAATAACTTCATTAAAAAGTTCAACATAGGTATTCGGATCAACCATTTCCTCAAAATTACAGGTTCCCCATCTCTTTTTAAACTCATTAAACATTCAACATCTTGGAAACTGATACCAAGTCCACCAAACGGGAAGTAAAATGCATGCACTTCGGGCCTCCACTTTTTAACGAAGACGATAACCAAACTATGGTCTATTCTAATGGGGCGCACCTGATGTACCCCATAAAATCCAGACCTTCTTATATTTTTCTCAATGCGATCATCCCTAATTTTTTTAAAAACACAATAATCGTTTCGACATACTGATACTTTTTTGTATGCAATGCCCGGTTCTACCCAAACACATCTGGATCGATGAGTGTCTAGGAGGGTGAGCATAACGTCATTCATCAGGCCAACAAGTTGACATTGTATGTCGTTCATGTTTACATAAAAAATGAAATAACAAAAATTTACTAATAGAAAAATCTATTTAAATCATATAATTCTAATACTGGAGTACTATATAATAAATAAAAATATATTGTAGATTATTAGCACAAAAAATCGAAAATATTTAGAAGTAGTAGAAACTTTAGATGTTGAATGTGAAGTGGTGTTCATTGAACCCAATTTTTATATTAAAAAATTACAACAAACCGTGTTCGCCGAACACGGGTTTTACTTCAGCAGCGCTAAGTGAACCTGCAGAGCTTGAGATAGAGATCAGAGAGGGGGACAATAGGCTTTTCCTTATGTTTTGAAGAACTCCAGATTTTTTTGTTAAATTTAAAATGCGGTAAAAAAATCTAATGTATTTAAGTTTGTAATTTTTTAATTATTATTTTAGTTTATTTAATGTATTTATTTAAATTAAAAATATTAAATGTAAATGAAATATTATAAAACTAATATTTAGAAAAAAATTAAAAAATGAGGATAGAATGAGGATGAGACATTGACACCTCTTGAATGGTGATGAGATGGTGATGAAATAAGGAAAGGTTATGTTTAGCTGAGTTGGAAGTAAGGAAGGTGAGGATGGTGATGTAGTACCCAAAAGCCTTATCATTAATTGCTCCCAAATACTCTATCATTTTCTACTCCGTATTCAATTTCATTATAAATAGGAAATTACGAGGTAAATTTTCTTGTTTTTAAAAATAATTTTATTTATTAATCAGTACATAGATAAGAAATAAAAAATATATATTAAAAACTACGTCAAAAGTTATACAAAACATGATGTGTCAAAAATATTTTATTTTATCAAATACTCAATGCAAATATACAAATAAACAAAAATTATCGACATGAGAGAAAAAAGTTGTAATCTAATTCGAGACGGAGTAAATAGTTTTTTTCTGTTTTTTAACGCCTAGTTTTCCGTTCAAACCAATTGGAAAAGAAAAATATCAATCCAAAAATCATTTGAAGTAAAATACTCAAATTTTATTCCACAAAAAATGAAACATTTAAAATAGAAATCACTCTAGTGGAAAGTCACCCAAACGGAATCTAAAATGATCCAAAAATTAATCATATCCAAAGTTAACCCGAGCTGAATGATCCGATCCGATTGGTTCTACTCATTTACTTCTGGGGGTGCACTGACCGGAGGGCAATTCCGGCACCGGCCATTTCGTAAACCCTTCGCAAATGGCCTCTCTGCTATCTTCTTCTTCATCTCTCCGGCACTTCCCTCCCAAACCACCACTAGCGCCACCGTGCTCAGCCGGCGCTCTATTTCTCAACCTGCCGCGGCAAAGCCGAACTCGTTTCAAATGTTCGGCCAGTCAGTCTGGGTTCTTCGGCAAACTCGGCAGGCTGATCAAAGAGAAGGCGAAGAGCGACGTCGATAAACTGTTCTCCGGATTCACCAAAACCAGGAATAAGATGGCCGTCATAGACGAACTTCTCCTCTACTGGAATCTCTCCGACACCGACCGCGTATTGGATGAACTGGAAGAGGTCCCAATTCAAATTCCGATCTGTTTTCGATTTTGTAGAATGGGAAATCGATCTGTTCTTGTTTTGTTAAAGAAATTCCTTGATGATGAATTCATTTCATTTGTCTCACAATATTTCAGCACTCTCATCTGAACAAATTCATTCTAACCATACATTTTTCACTTTTGAATAAATTTTTTTTCTTTTTAAATTGGTTAAAGCTCTCTTGGACAGAGGTAGGAAGTATATCTGGATATCTTTTTCTGTGCTCAGCTGTGCTAATGATGCAATATGAGACCTCAAAATACGAAAATTTTGACAGAAATTTCAGAAAAAAATATTAAGACATTTTCACCATGGAATGCAACTTAGCTTCACGTAGCTAAGAAAAGAATGTGAGAAACATACATATACAGAAGGAACATGTATGAACTCCATTTAAGTGGAATTTCAATGACATGGAAGCGTTGGGAGTTGAAATTTTTAGGACATCGTGGATGCAGGCTTTGTTGGTGTCTGATTTTGGGCCAAAGGTTACAATAAACATTGTAGAAAGTTTGCGAGATGATATATATGCAGGCAAGCTAAAAACAGGAAGTGAGATAAAGGTAAGTGCCCCAGAGTTTTTTTTTTAAATTTTATTTTTAATTTTTTGTTATAAATTTCTAACACATAAATCTAAATTATTGTGCTTCTAAATGAGAAAAGAAGAATTTACAGCAATTTGTAAATACATATGTCCATATCTATATGACATATCCATAGTGTTAAGTCTCTGCTTAGGTTATTGGGAGTAAATTTCATGTTGAATGCAATCTATGTGATGTGTAGGATGCTTTGAAGAAGGGTATCTTGGAGCTTTTAGCTAAGGCACCTAAAACAGAGCTCCAACTAGGCTTCAGGTCTACACTGAATCAAGATCTTTGCCCTTTTGGATTTCATTGATTTTAGGATTAAAGCTTTATTATCACAGTTAAACAGGAAACCTGCCGTGATCATGATTGTGGGCGTCAATGGAGGTGGAAAGACAACGTCTCTTGGTAAGACAGAACTTTTGTGCTCACTGTAAATTTCTCAAGGGCCTAACTGTTTTCTTGGCAACATGATGCATAATTGTATTATACGTAAGGAAAGATGTCCAACTGTTATCCATGCGTGCTTTCTCATTTTAATATACTCATTCCATCCCACAAAAAGAGAAGTGTTTAACCAAGGTACCACATTTAAATTGTAGAAAGGTGCAATTATAAGAAATTATCAAATAGACCTGTGTGTTTAGATTTATTTGTTAATTTTACTAAATTTAACTTACTCAACTTGTTTGTGACACCTTTTTGTATACTCCCTCCATTTCCGAATCAACTTTACACTTTTCCTTTTTGGATGTCTAAAATTCAACTTTACACTTTAAAGCCTTCTTTTTTAGTAAGTAAATATGTAGACAATTTTATTTTCCTCTTCGAGATGAATTTGAAGCACAAAATTTTAACTTTTTGCAAAGCACCATTCACTTTTTAACAATTTCCTTAAATCCCGTGAAGTCAAAGTGCCTAGTTGATTTGGAAATGAAATGAGTATATAAAACATTAACATGGTGAAAATTAGCTTTTTTTGTTCAAGTATGACTATGTTTGGGACAAAATACTCCATACGCCCCAAAGTGATGTTTACACTTTCCTATTTTAGATGTCCCAAAATGAAGTTTACACTTCCCCACCTTTCCTTTTAGGAAATGAATATGTGGCACTTATCATTTCTCTCTTCTAGATTAAGTTTAACCATACACAAACATCTTTCATTTTTCCAACACTTTTCATAAACTCCATGAAGTCGAAGTGTACACTTCATTTTGGGATAGTGGAAGTAAGTTTCAAAATATGACTATTTTTTTAGAGGGAGGAAGTAGTACATAACAGTGTACCTTTTACAACAAACCCAGTGAAATCCCACAAAAGTAGTTCGTAGTACCTTTTAAATGAAAAAATAACTTCAGGTTTGCTTCCGTAGAAATAGAAAACATTCATTAGTCCTAGAGTACATAATAAGCACTCATGAAAGATGCATAAAAATTGGATGACTTACTTCAGCCTTTATCACAAAGTTTAAAGGTTTTCGACGTGGAGATGGATGGTGATTTAATTTTTATTTCTTTTGGATGCAGGAAAGCTGGCCAATAGATTGAAGAATGAAGGAGCAAAGGTCAGATGTGTCATTCTTTCCCTCTTCTTTCTTCTGCATAGGAAGCAATAGGTTCCTTTCAAGATCTAACCACGAGTTTTTCTTATTTTTTGGAGTAAAAAAGCCACGCACAGATTTTTTTCTCACTTTTTTCCCTCTGAAATTATTGCCAGATATTATTGGCAGCTGGTGATACATTCAGAGCAGCTGCTAGTGATCAACTGGAGATTTGGGCCGAGAGGACTGGTTGTGATATTGTTGTTGCTGAATCAGAGAAAGCCAAAGCTTCATCAGGTTCGAAGCTAATATACTCTTTTTTCTTAGTGAATTTCTATCAGAAAGGTCTGGTAACAGCTCCTAACCCATGATTTTAAAGTTCCTCCTGAGTAGTTCTTTCTCAGGCTGTTAAAAGAGGGAAAGAAGAAGGTGTTGATGTTGTTTTATGCGACACATCTGGACGTAAGTTGTGACACACTCAACTATTTTGTGACTTAAGCCTTCATTGAATATTCATCAATATTTTAAGTGTTTGAGCAGGTTTGCATACTAATTATAACTTGATGGAAGAACTAGTTGCATGCAAGAAAACTATTAGCAAAATTGTTCCAGGTGCACCCAATGTAAGCTAAAAAAGCTGTGTACCTCCCTATTATGGAGTATGAGTGTATTCAATTTTCTTTTTTATGATTAAATACTCCCTCCGTCCATAAATTATCTTCCCGTTCACTATTCACAGGACCAACTTTATTCACTTTGTTTGCCTATTTTCGTTGCCTATTTGATATTAAAAAAAATATAGTCATGTGACCTCTACTTTTTAGGTCCTTTGTAGTTTTTTAATGTATAATTCTTATTTTTTGATTCCACACCAATTTTCATATAAAATGAATTAAAACTAACTTCAGTCAATCATCGCAACATAACGGGAAGAAAATTTGTGGACGGAGGGACTACGGAGTAAGTTTTATTATGCATAGAATACTTGGAAATGTTGTACTCCGTAGTTTTTTTTCACTTTCTCCTCTCATTGAAGGGGTGGTTTCTCTGAAACATCCCATCTTGGGGTGGGTAGAGTTAAAGTCTGCATCCCAACTCTTGAGCGGGATTTAATGTGGCTCTTTGGTTTGGTTGGTTATGCATACAATGCTCTAATTGGTTACATTGTCATTACTCATTAGGCTCTCCATCTTGAATCTCTTGATGAATGTATAGTGCACATTTGGCGGCAGAATTCTAAACTAATATTGTTTGCTCATTTTGTTTGGTCTGGTTTTTTGTAACAAAAGGAATCTGAAGTTCAACGAGGCAATAGTTTTGACCTCATTATGTTTAATGTGAAATACTAAATGTGATTTTAGGAAATTTTGCTAGTGCTGGACGGAACAACAGGTTTAAATATGCTCTCACAAGCAAGAGAGTTCAATGAGGTAATAGTTCCGACCTCATTATGTTTTATGAAAACGGTTTCCTTGTTTGATTTGTTCTCAAGCTTCTATTTATGCTGCTTTGAACTTCCTTATATCTAACAAAAAAGAACTGTTGCCGTTTAAGCCGGTTTGTGAACTGTTTCCCTTAAAGATTGAAAGTCTGATTTGCCTTCCAATGCTAGGTTGTCGGGGTGACGGGTTTAATACTGACAAAACTTGATGGCACTGCAAGAGGAGGTTGTGTGGTATATAGTCTCACAGCCCTCCACAGCTCATGCATTCAGCACTGTGATGTATAAGAAATTGCAGTGGCTCTGAAAATAACAACAAATTTTGGCCGATTTCTGGTTGCAGGTTAGCGTGGTTGATGAGATAGGCATTCCTGTAAAGTTTGTAGGTGTCGGTGAAGGATTAGGCGACCTCCAACCATTTGATGCCGAGACATTTGTAAATTCGATTTTCTCTTGAGGCATTGGGTTATCAGTGAAACATACTTAAACAGGAAAAAAAACCCTTCGGTTGAGCACTTGGGCCTTTAGCCATAAAGTTTGACCGTGTTTGATATTACCGGTCACCAATTGTAGGGGTAAGGTCTGCATACATACATTCTCCTCAGACCATTTGTTGGTGTACCCTTTGGGTAATTCTCATTGCACATCGCACCGGTTCAATATTGATCCATTCTCTTTCTCAGTTGGATTAACGGCATAGTGTTCCACCAGATATATACAATGATATGAACAATAGAGGAAATGTTTGTTTTGCTCCTTTAGCCGTTGTGTTTGGTTTTACCTCTTTTATTAACTAATTCTAGGTTTAAATATCCTTGCAAGTTGTGATATAATGATGGCTGGTTTAAGTCTTTTATGTAGGAAGGTTTTTGGTTGGATCTTTATTTAGGTACTCCAATAAAATTTAGATCAGCAATAATCATTGCTTTGCCAAAGAAACATGAATAAATTCCATAAATTATCCCTTATAACATGAGATTTTCTATAAATGGTCATCAATTCTAGAAAATTACATTTGTAGTTTTCAATATTAAAATATTATTCCATAATCAATCTTTTGACTCAAATACTATTTTTCACATACCGTCTTCAAAAGACTTATTGTGGAATAATTTTCTAATATTGTTGCGAAATGCTAGTGGAGGGTATGGCCATGAATATAATTTCCAAATATTGTGTCAAAGGACCTTTTGCTCATGTTTTGATTGAAAAAATTAAGAGAAAAAAAAGCTGAAAATTTAGGACACTCCAATTCTTGAAATTTAATTCCCCACACGCCAGTACCTCAAGCAGAACATATAATGTTTTATATATCCAAACACGCTCCTTCAGGAACAGGCAAAATGTCTTTTTGCTCCAGCCTTGCACGCGAAACATATTACTCCATCCGTCCCAAATTAAACTTCTTGCGTTGACTGCCACGGAGTAGAAGAAAAAGTGAAATTCATGGTTGAAATTTATGCAGATGAGAGGAATAATTAACGTTAACCACTCAATACTTGAAAACGAATGCGAAGGTGAGAAGTTTGTTTTGGGACAAATGGAGTATATTTGTTTTAGCTGAAGTTCGTAACCACTAACCAAGAGCTCAAGCTCGTGGTTGTAAGTCCAAAAATCGATAGCAATAAAAATTACAAGGAATGCATAGACGACAACAAAAAAAAACTTACATAATAAGCCGCCAAGGAGTTGGAGGTTCACAAACTCGCAGCTGGTGAGTGATACAAAGTTGCACGAGAAAGGTAAGTCAGTTTATCAGAGTCCTTCAGTTTAAATTCCACCGCAACTACTGTCAAGTTTCTTCCGCTCCTCACTACCGACCCGTGAATCCTAACTTCTGCCTGAAAACGCAATTCGAGCTTTCAGTTTGACTATGAAACTCACAATGAAGTGTTTGCCATTGCAAAAAGTTTCATTTTTTTTTGTGTTCAGTGCAATGAAATAATGAATCGAACCATCTGTTTACAAACCACAGAAGCCGAAAATTGTGCTGAAACGCAATGGCAAGCACCCCATGTATATGTAATATATGTACAATGAAAGAGGCTGGGGACTCTATGGTGATCAAAGAGAGACTGACATTTAGAGGGGCAGAAGAGAGATAAGACATGCTTAACTCTCCAAGAAATAGCTCTTTCTCCTCTCCGACAACTGTTCTAGCACACGCAATCGCCACTCTCTCGGCTAGTGCACCAACTGCGCCCCCGTGCATCCCACCAAATGCATTCTGAAATGGCACCAAGTTAAGATCTTGAACTCGAAATAGAGACAGATATGTGAAGCTTATCTTGCAATCAAATTGGGTAGATTTTGCCCACTTGACCAACACATAACCAAGTGCAAGTGTTAAGTTACTCTTTCTATTGCTTATTGGTTTTAGAATGGAACATCAACTTGTAATATCACCTAAGTCTCTTAGTTTGCCAATCAATTTGCATAGTTTTTCGCAATATTTAATATGCTCATAAATGTTAATGTAAAATACTGGAGTATTATTCTACTGTTAATAAAATTACCATGGAATAAAATTAGCATTGCAAAACTTTTGGTTTTAAATATTTGTACAATTCACATAGTTCTTTCCGAATACTCGGTATGTTTTATGGTCATAGACGGTAAGGCTAGCTATGGATTGTTTTCTATTTTGAACACAAACTACTATATTTCATCACTTATAAAAACAAAAGGACTATTAAACTCAGGAGTTTACTTAACGAAGAAAATCATTATACTAATTACAGACTTTAAGCTGATATTGAAACGGGGCGGTTCTGTTGTCATTAGACAATGGTGCCACTAGCTTTTTGGAACACCGGATGTGTTCCGTTTGCAAAACACCAGGCTCCCACCAAAGAGAAATCACATTGTATACACTCCTTTTTCTTCTGGATGTTACTTACTAATTGTTAAAAAATAAATGAACAAACTTTTTCAATAATTGGAAGTACTCAAGGATCAATAATAATTAACAAGAAAATATGTTTTATTGTCAATGACATTATAGACCCTGGTAAATATGTTTTATGTGAAATCACTATTTCTAGAATTTCAATCCCAGGTAACTTTAGAAAGCAAATTACTACTTTACTGTTGTGAAATCACTATTCCAACTCTCTTGAACCTCAAAATTTTCTTGTCTAAAATTATACTCACAAAAAAGTTCTTGATTTGACTTGGCACAAAGTTTAAGAAAAGTAAAAATATATGATTGAAAGTGATGCAAAAGAGAGGAAAAAATTGTGAGTCACTTCAAATTTTCCATAAAAAGGAAATAAGATGTTTTTTTGGGACGCACCAAACAAGAAATAAGAAGTCTTTTTTTTTAGAGGAAGAAAGTAAGATCTAACAGTCGGCCTATGAGAGTAATCTTTTACCCTAAAGTTTCCCATGAATGCATCAGTTAATTTTTCCTATGTCTAACAAACACTCCACACAGTTCACTCGGCCCACCGAAAATTCAACGTGCTATTAGAGCTAAGTTTAGTTCGGGTTCGATTCATCATGATATCAACCTCTGGGCTAGCTATAAAGAGAATTTGATGCTAGGCACATTTATCCAACTATCCAAGTAGTAACTAGTTACCGTTTGGGGGAGTCGTGTTTTGGGTTCTATCCCACACGGGCAAATTTAATTAAATACTCCGTATTACTCTCATATAAGGAAAGGTAAGACACTACCTATTTGCTTAAGTTTTTGGTTAAAAAGTATCTGAGTTTTTATATGAAAAAGTAGTTCACCCAAGGTGCACACTAAGCTTTTCGTATCAATGTCATTTTTATTTAATTTGAAGTTAAATTTTACCAATTTTGACCGAAAAAAGTCAAAAGTGGACAAATACTAGGGACGGACGGGGAGTATCTTATAAAATGAGTATAAACAATAAAGACATCAATTTTTAACCTAATTTACCAGGATAGCAGGTTTGACGATGAACAGACAGGTGATTTTGCCGGGGTGGATGTGCTGGACTTTGAGGAGGCCGCGGGTGAGGTGAGAGAGGGAGTCCTTGGCCTGGTGCTCATCCGGAAAGCTGGTGGAGAAAACTCCGACGTCGCGCAGGATGCCGTCGAGTGAAATGATGGAATCTGAAGATAGGTCTGCGGCGGCGGTGCCGTCGCGGAGGGCCTTGGCTGCTACCGTTCCTTCTTTGCCTCCCATCTCATTCATCTCTCACCTGCCACTCCTAACCACTATCATTCTTTAAAAATAAGTGATACTACCTCCGTCCCAGAGTATTTGTCCATTTTCATTTTTACACATCATTCAATACACTTTTTTAATCCATTTTATATTGTAATTTGTATATTAAAAAATTATAGAAATTATATATTAATAATCTATATGTTAAGACAAATCAAACAAGATCACACATGACTATATTTATGCTTACACATTGAGAGAATTTGATGAGTCAAAGTGCTTAGATAATAGTTCTAAAAGTCAAAAGTGGACGAATACTCCCTCCGTCCCAAAATATTCACAACATTTGTTTTTTCAGCAGTCGCAGGAACTTTTGTTTATTTCTAAGTTTTAATGGTTATTTGATAAAATAAAATATTCTTGACACCTCTTATTTCGAAAAACTTTTCATTTAGTTTTTTGATATGTAAATTTTATTTTTTATTTCTATACCAATATGTAAATAAAATGAATTGAAAAAGTTTGATATTTTGCCTTGGGAATACAAATGTGGCAAATATTTAGGGACGGATGTAGTAGTAGTTACTACCTCTATCTTAAAAACTTGCCATATCTTTTTAACAAATTGTACATTGCTTTAATCATAAGTTAAATATAATTTCAAATATTAATTGTTATAATAATTTAATATTTTAAAATTATATCTTATAAGCAAAATACTATTTCCACAATTTATAGTATAAGTTTTGTACAATTTATTTAAAAAGGTATCTTTTACTCATTAATTTCACGAAACAAAGAATTTATGAAGCACGTGATGCAGATTTTTTTAGAGGAATTGTTCCACAAGTTTTTTCCAGTTTTACCTTTTTTCCAACCAATGTGGATTGACTTTTGACTTATAATCCCTTTGTCAAAAATCATCTTTTTGTTCGCTATTCACATGATTAAATTTTATTATTTTTGTTGACCTATTTTTTCTTTATCTATTTGATAAAATAATATAATTCCGTTACTACTAGTTTTGTAGATCTTTTGAGGAGCTCTTTTCGTTCCAAATTAAATTAGTTGTTCACCATTTATAGGGTCAAACTTCATCCATTTTCTTTCTTGATTTTTGTTAACAATTTGATAAAATAAAATAGTCATGTCGCTACTTATTTTATAGATCTTTTGATGTATTATTTAAATATGTAATTTTTATTTTTTAATTTTATGCCATTTGTCATATAAAATGATTTGAAAATAATTTCACTCATACATCGTAAACTGAAACAAGTAATATAAATTGAGACGGAGGGAATAGTTTTTAAATATATAATTTTTATTTTTTAATCCTGCTCCATTTTTCATATAAAATATTTTGAAAATAATTTCTATCAAATATCATAACGCGTAATGAGAAGATAATTTTTGGACGGAGGGATTATTAAATAAAAACTACATGATACAATAAAATAATCATTACATCTATTACTTTATAAAACTTTTAATATACTCTCTCCATCGCTAAATAAATATCTTGCTTTCGTTAATTGGTTGTCCCAAAATAAATGTATCATTATATTTCAAGAAAAAATGAGGGATCACATTATTTCTTCCCCCTTTGCACAAACCTTCACCATATAATTTATTTTTCATAAAACATTTATTTATGGACAGAAAAAATAGATTTTTCATAGTGAAATTTGTACTAAATAGTATTAAAACATATGTCATTTTCCAGTGTAGTATTTAAATTTCTTTATTTTCTAAATAGTACTTAAATAATGTCTAGTGACGGAAACAATGTCAAGTGATGGTAGACATTTAGTTTGAACAATGTTCAGTGACGGTGGCCATTTATTTGAAGAATTACGAGTAGACAATGACTAGTGGTACTACATTTGAAAATAAAAAAATATGGTACTACATTGGGAAAGCCGCAATGATTTAGTACTATTTAGGTACATTCCCCGTTTTAATATAAAAAATATCATCTTTTTATTTCACTCCAATTTTCAAATAAATACTTTGGAAAAAACAACAATAAAAACAATAGATAAATTAAATCGAGACAAAAGAAGTATTATTTACTCCTATTTTTAATTGCTCTTATTAGGAGTATTATTATTGTAAACATTTAATTATTATTATTATTAGTACTATTATTATAAATATTATTACTATTATTATTGGGTAAAATGTAAATAAATGCATGAAATACTCAGGTGAGTACAAAATTTCGGAGCAAACCCCTATCCAACAACAAAAGCAAGGAAAACACGAAGCCCAACAACAAAATCAAAAACCCAGAATAAGGGTTTAAAATAAATTTTATAATAGGTTCATTATATATTTAGTTCTCTATTATCAAATACGAATGTGATTCTCCTTTTATAAACACTTTTTCATAAATAGTCTTTTTAATCTTTTGTAATATTGGTGTTTATTTGAAAACTAAAAATATAATTTGACATTAGTCTGCATTCAGTGACATATTCTAATGTTGACGAGATGATAATACAACAATAATGACAATGGTTGTCGACCGCGATTCCGGTGAAAAGACTATAATTGTAGTAGACAGCGACTGTGATTCACAAACGACGCATCAAGAGCGGCATCTAGAATCGTGTATGACACAAAAGATATATGATCATTATAAGTTATAATTTTAGCCCTCAAATTAACACGACAGAAAATAAAAAACTGTAAAAAGAACTATTTCATAATAAAAAATAGTGAACCATTGTATCTAAACAACTTACATTAAAACCAATGTTTATATAGGATGGAGTGAGTATTAAGAAGCCACAATATGGACCTCATTCTCCTCAAATCCCTTGTGGTTTTCAACCCAGCTAAAACCAGAACCCTTAACTATGTCCCCCTCATCCATCATCTCTCTAATCGCCTTCGATTCCTCCCATCGTCCGAGAGACGAGTACATATTTGCCAGAAGAACATAAGGAGCAGAGTTTTCAGGATCGAGACGCGAAAGCTCGGTTGCTGCCCTTCTAGCTAAACCCACATTCGAATGAACCCTACATGTGCTCAGCAATGCCTCCCACAGAATCAGGTCGTCTTTGAACGGCATCTTATCCAAGATTTCTTCCACTTCCATGAACCGCCCTGCCCGACCCAAGCAGTCAATAATGCAAGTGTAATGATCAACAACGGGTTCCAATCCGAACCTGTTCCGGATCGAGTTGAAAACCCGAATGCCCTGGTCCACTAATCCGGAATGACAACAGGCAGTTAAAACTGCGACGAACGTTATGTTATCCGGCTCATTCCCCGTTCGGATCATGTCCTCGTATAAGAGATAAGCTTTGTCTCCTTGCCCGTTCTGTGCGTAGCCGTGTATCATCTCATTCCAGGTGATGGTGTTTTTCCAGGGCATCCTGTCGAAACACAAGCGGGCCCCACATATATCGCCGCACTTAGAGTACATGTGGATCAGAGCGCTTCCCACGACTACATCGTTTCCGTGCCCGCCTCTAGATATCATGCCGTGAATTTGCCTCCCGAGTGCTAGGGCAGACAATTTCGCACAACTACTCAACATAGATGCATAAGTGAACTCACTAGGTGGCATCCCCATCGTCAGCATTCTCTTAAAGAAGGAAACTGCTTCTTCGTCCAAGGAATTGAGGTTTAAACCCGAGATCATGGAATTCCAACACACTATATCCAACCAAGGCAAGCTATTGAACAAGGTTTTGGCCACCTTTACCAAACCGCATTTTGTGTACATGGCAATAAGACTGCTAGCTACATATATGTCACCTTGAACGCCGTTCTTAAATGACGCAGCGTGAAGCTGCTTCCCATAATCCAAAAGTGATGTTTCTGCGCATGAAGTGAGTATGAGAGCAAAGGTGGTCCGATCGGATCGGACGTTTTGAAATTGCATTTTCCTGAAAAGGTTTATCGCTTCATATTGATCGCCATTCTGTGAGTAGCCCGAAAGCATGGCATTCCATGAGCTCAAGCTTGGGCACGCCATCCTCTCAAATAGCAAACGGCCAGCTTCAACTTCCCCAGATTTGACACAACCTGCCAGCATATTAATGTGAGTAACCTCGTCGGGTTCATAGCCACAACTCAGCATGCACTCCATGTATTCCATGGCTCTTTTTATTTCATAGTTCTGCCCGAACCCGCCTATCATTATATTCCAAGAAACAGTACTAACTTCGGGCAGGTTTTGGAAAATCAGTTCAGCACTCATCATCTCCTTGTTCTTCACGTACACATCAAGCAGTGAGTTGCAGAGGCGAAGATCACTGTCAAATCCAAGTTTGATGGCAAGTGTGTGAACTTGTTTCCCAGGGACGTTGCGCATTTTGGAAGCATTAAGGTCATCGATTATTAGGTCACCGCCATCACCCTTAGCACACACCTTGAGAAAGCTCGACAACGAAATGGGATCAATCTTGAATCCGTTCCGTTGCATCAACCTAAACATGTCAAAAGCGTCCTCCACTTGGTCAATGTCACCCAACCCAGATATCATGGCCGTGAACGAAACCTCATTACGTTCCGGCAAGTCCCCAAAGATCTTGACTGCATCCCCACCACAGCCACATTTCATATACATACTTAACATTGCATTGCCAACATAAACATTCTTCTCAAGCCCACATTTTACAGCAAAACCATGGCATTCTCTCCCAAACTCCACACCCTTCAACCCACCACAAGCACTCAACACGCTCGCCAAGGTGATGTGGGTAAGCTCAAAACCACCTGAAATCATCATGCGGAAAACCTCCAATGCCTTTCTTTCATGTCCATTTCGAGCTAGAGCACTAATCATAGTGTTCCATGAGACACTATTCCTCTCAGGCATTCTAACAAAGAGATCAGTAGCAGGCTCTAACTGGCCTGCTTTGCAATAGGCACTCAGCATAGCATGCCATGAATATATGTTTGGATGAGGCATTTGATCAAAAACATTTCGCGCCGCCCGGATGAGACCACATTTTGAGTAGCACTCCGTGATGCGGTTGGCAATAAAGGTGTCGGAAGAGAGTTCGAGCCGGACCACATGTCCATGGATAAGTTTGCCTGCAATTTGGGCTTTGGTATCTATGCAGGTCTGCAAAAGATTAGCTATGTAGGTTGTGTTGGTTTTGCCTTGCATTCTTCAGGCTCTGGGGCACACGGGCATCCGCGCCCTTTGAGGCCACTTATTCTAACAACAATTTTTCAACATTTAATCTTAACCCTCCATCCTCACCTAACAAATCTGGGCCACCCACTTTTCTTAATCCTTCCAAATCACACTTGCGACACACATAAGCTCCATTGTTATACTTCATAGTTGAAGACGAACCTCGCATATTATTGTCTTGTAAATCTGAAAGGTAAGAAAACAAATGAACTATGCACACATTAGTGCAAATGTATTGTAGAACAAAAAACACATCAGCAAAAGCGCATCAATAGGAATGGAACAATTTCAACAAAATCTAAATTGCAAATGAATCAATTACTTTATTTAGCCAGTTGAAACTCTCTTCACATATCCAAAAATTAACCATAAAATGCATAAACAATACGAAAAAAATGGACAGAAATCATAAACCACAACACAGAATAGTATGCACAAATTGGACAAAAATGGACAGAAGAACAAAAATTCATCGATTGTAAAGTTTGTATAGTGGGAATACCAAGGGGAGTACTGATAGATTGAGAGTTGGTGGAGGGGGTGCAGAATCTGCAAAGGGTGTATTCAAATCTGCAAATCAATAGCTTAGGTTTCACACAGGCCAAGACTTACCTGCACCTAACCGGGACGATGCGAGGATGAGGGCGACCGAAAGGGAGATGAACGGTGCACGACTCAGAGGGTGGCGACCCGGCTGAGGACCCAGCTGGTGCTCGTAAAACAGTGGCGGAGCGGGCTAGCCTTCGCCGGGATAGTGATTTTCTACTCCCTCGGTCGGTATTTAGTTTACTATTCAAAAAAGTACGGAGTAATAAAATTTTTATTTATTTGTATTTTTTTATTGACTATTTTACGTAATAAAATATTTTTGCCATCTCTTATTTTGTGGAATTTTTGATATACTTTTTAAATATGTAACTTTTATTTTTTTTATTTATATATTAATTTTTAAATAAAATGAATTGGAAAAATTTTGATTTTTTATCGTTTTGTGTAAAGAGTAAATGATTTAGCGGCGGAGGAAATATAAGATGACTTGAAATTGAGAACGTAAAAAAATAAAAATATCTCTCTAGATAGAAATAAAAAATTATGAAAATACCAAAATATGAGTCGTAAGTCTTTTAAAACAAAAATATGAGTACCTAAAAAACTATGAAAATACTAAAATATAAGTCTTAAGTCTTTTAAGACCAAAATACAAGTATAATGACAGTATGTCGTAAGACTACGCGTTTGCAGTGTGTTGAAAATGTGATGAAAATATAATATATAAGTGTGGTCAATTACAATGTGACAATGCGGTGAGGGTGAGAGTGTAACAATGACAGTATGAACTCTTATTTTTATCTTAAAAGATATATGACTCCTATTTTGGTATTTTCATATTTTTTTACTTCTATGTTTTATCTAAGGAGGTTTACCAAAAAAACTCTCTAACACCCCCCCCACCCCGATAAAATTAATAGTATCTTCGTCTCAATGTGTTTGTCTAATTTTTTTGAATCAAATAGGATAAACTTTTAACTTTGATTACTCTCAACTTGTATAACATATTAGTACGAAGATATAAATAAATGAAAGGTGGATAGTTTTAGGTAAATTCTCTTTTTTTTGTTTCTTTAATTTTTTACTTTAAATTTAAATATTTTTTTAAAATCTTTTCATAAATCCTGATATTTACAACAGCAGCAGGAAATATATCATGCTCAAATACTGTAACAACTGTCCAACCACGATCTGCAAGGCACGATTTCTAGAGGGTAAAATCTCGCCACCAATTTCCTCTTTGTCTAGGCCGTCAAAGCAGGATAAGGTTGTAGCATGCGTCAATCAAAGACCTCGCTCTCAGCCGTGCAACGCACAACAAGAGTTTTCTTCCGATCCTCATCGTGGACCGAGCCTAGGCCAGATCGCTATCGCCGGAGGGGAGACGACAATGATAAAGGGATAACGATGCAAAGAGGAAAGATGTTATCACATGGCAGGAATTCAGGGATGAGAGTAACACTCTTTTCTTTTTTCAATTGAAATTTAGTTATATGTATGGTAGAAACTTTCATTCTCTTCATCTTTTCTTCGATGTAGGGATAATGTCTCCGGTTTTGAATTCTTGTCATAAGTCAACAACGTCACACTTCAATAATGATGCCACCAGTTAAAGTGGTATTTTTCTTCTCTTGAATTCATTTTTTAAATTTGGACTTCTCAAACAACCAATGAATTAGGAGTCATTTTTTCAGATTTAATTTTACTTCTTTGTGATGTTTGACTTCTTTGCGAACAAAAAATACTCAAATATCCTCAATTAATCTTCATTTGAGTAACATTATTTACGAAAAACAATCTTAAGAATAAGTCGCAATTATAAAAGACCACTAAGTAATTAAAATTTATTGAGGATTGATTTGGGGAAAACGTTCGATTATTTTGGAAATTTAATCTAAAATAATTGATATATATTTTATTTGCCCCAAAACTGTAAAAAGAAGTCGTTTCATTTGTTCAGATTATCACTCCGATGGAGGTGAAGGCGATGGCTCCCGGTGGTGGTTACAGGAATGGCAATCACAGGTCACCCAATCAGAAAGCTTCTTCTCCTCCTTTCAAATCGATTCCTCCGTCGTCAACGTCTAGTGTCCGCCGCAGCAGCGGCGTAGCCACTCTCGGAGCCGCTGCCGCCGGTAGGTTACTACATCTCCGCTCCAATTACGTTTGAACAATGTGCCCTAGATGAAGTTCGATATCGTTATTTACTTGTAGATGAGAAATTTGATCGATTTTTATGAATTTACTGCTACGGAGCTCTACAATTACGACTATAAAGTGTTAAGCTGTTCTGATTTCTGAAATTGTTATGGCTGAAATCCTTCTGTACTTCAAATACTCACTATATCCTTGATTCCGTACAGGGCCGGCCTCGAAAAATGAAAAAATGAATTTGGCCCTGTCCGAAATTTACATTTTGGGCCCTATTTTATTATTTTAGAATATTTATGCTTCTAAATTAATAATGAATTTAAAAATATGGGGCCTTAAAATTTTAAGTACCCTGTGCGGTTGGCCACTTTACACACCCTCCGGGCCACCCATGATTCCGTATACTAAACTGTAACACCAATTTTATTTGATAACCAATTTACCAAATTTGAAGTGAAATTGAGCTGCTTTATCTAGAGGTCTCATGAATAATTTTGAAATTATTTTTCCTTTAACTTGATTCAAACTAGTTTAACACTTGATGGGATTCTGTACCACAACTATGGCGTGCGAAGAACAGAAAAATAATAAGAACTGTAATGATGAAAATTAGACTCTTGTGTGTTTATATTAGCTATCTTCAGCTTGGGTTACAATGGATGATTTACCATCTATGTATAGTCTACTTCTACCGTATATAAAGCATGTAATATTTCGTGCGCTACATTATCGGTAATTCTATTAATCATGCGTCAATCGTGGCGGGGACATCAACCCCCCTCAATCCCATGATTTGGGGAATCGCACTCCATTCAAGTATTGAGCTTGACCTGACGCTCTGAGTCCACCTTCGGACATTGACTCTACGTTCTGCAGTCGGATTTATATCCCTGTTGGGCCGGGGAATCACAATTGGGCAGTCCATATCTGATCATCAGGCCCGGATATCCATCAACACTAATAAAATCATGTTTGAAGTGATACATATAATTGGCAACGCCTGCTTTAGATCTTTCAAGGTTCAGTTATCTTCTATAACTTTGTAAGATTGAAATCTCATTGGGTTGTACATTTCAAGTCTATTGGTTTTTATTTTTAGAAATTTTAGACTAGTTTTTTGCTAAAGATTTTTCTATCATCTCCTACGGACCTAAAGATTCACTATTTCTTTGCTTTGGGTGTGATGGAATAAAACAAAAAGAGATCACACTAAATAGAAGTAAAACATAGAAAAAGTACCAAAATAGGAGTTCTATGTTTTTATGCCCTGAATAGAAGTTTGCACTGTGGTAATGTGGTACTGTAAATGAGCATTTTTACTATATTTTTTGGTAATATACATGATCATGTTTGGTAATTAAATGCATTTAAATTTCGGGAATAAAAATATGTAAATCTTACTTTGGTATATTTTCAATGATATAGTCTTACTTTAGTCTTTTTCCCTAAAGCAAAATGAGGTTTTAAGTTGTCTACACTTCTTTTTCAGCAGTGAAGTAACAATTAGTCAATGCAACTTTCGATGCTCATCATGGGTCATCCCAAAACAGCTGCTCCCTGTTTTAAACATATGGGTGCGTACATCTGACCCCCCTTACCCCGCTATGGGGAGCCTTCGAGGCACTAGGGTAATGTTCTTGTTGTTGTTGGTCATCCTACTCTTGTATTCATCTAAAACTAATGTTTTTTCAATGACACTCTTATGCATACTATACTAATGCAAAAATTATTTTGAGCATTTTTATCATTGTCACTTGGAGAATTTATGTGTTTTGAGTATATTGAATATACTTTCTTAACTGAATTAGTGGATATTTTGCAACTAGGAAACAAGAGAGACTTGTGTGTGTGTGTATGTGTGTGTATATATATATATTTATTTATTTTGTACTGTGCTCGATATGTGACCCAACTTGCTTTCATGCAGGGTTAGCAAAAGTTAGAATGGAGATGAGGGGAAGGGGCAGGAGGAATTTCGAAATGCCAAAGGTTCCCCACCGCGCTGACTAAGTATTTCCTACACAAGAACAGCTCCGCGTACACCTTCTCCACCTTGCGGTTCACGTCGTGGAGGAAGACGTGCGTCACCCCGGGCCGCTTCCGGTTGCGCGCCATCACGGCCGCCGAGTATATCGACGCCATCCTCCCCGGCGCTTCCATGTAGTACCCCCTCGGCCCGTCGATCAGTATCACGTCCCACTCCCTGTCGTAAACCTCGGCCGGGAGCATGCTCAGAGCCAGCCTGCACCGGTGGTTGCCGCGCAGGAACGACCTCGCGGCCGAGCAGTCCTGTTCCTCCCGGAAGTGCTGGACCAGCTCGGCCGCCTCCGACATCTTCGTCGTGTACCTCACGACGAAGGCCGTCAGGTTGGTGTTCGGGCCGCCGGGCCCGACCAGGGAGTCGTAGAACTTCGGGTCCTCCTCCAGGAACACGGTGGTGCCGTGGAGGTTGAAGCACTTCCACATGAGGGAGTCGTGGCCCAGCCCGAAAACCAAGAAGTTCGCGGGGCCCAGCCTCCGCAAGACGTCAATGCACGCCTGGATCTCGCGGGCGGTCTGTTGCGGCGTCAGGCGTGACGTGGCGTAGTGGAGGATGGCCTCGAGGAGCTGGGCTTGCTCGGTCTGGGCCTCGGCCCAGCTCGAGTTGCCCGGCGACGCGACCATGCCTCCGGTCTCGCAAATGCTCCGAGCGGTCGTCGCCGTTCGGAGAAACGTGGTTATGAAGCACGCGCCGCCGACGAAACCGATCGTCAGAATGCCGAGGAACCATGTGCGTTCAACCTTCAACTGGACAAAAGGCATCTTATTAATACCTAATTTGTTGATCAGTTAATCATGTTGAGATCAAACAATGTAACTAACTAAAATTGTTCACTTTTGGAAGATTTCCGATTTCTTCGTAATATGTAAAAATGTCGAGTTGAGAACAATGATCCTGAGCCAGTCAATAGAGAAAGGGCATTTTGACTGCTTCATTTCACGATCCCATGTTTTTGGATCGCATGTTTTGTTTGGCTTTATGCATAAAATGTGCGCATGATGTGAGTATTGTGACACGCGAGTGTGTGGAATATTACTATCTCCGTCCTTTAGTATTTGTTCAGTTTTGATTATATATTAATTAGATAAAATTATATTTCAAAAATATTTGATATAATAAATCTAATAAAACTATTTTTGTATCAATATCTAATATCATTCTTATTTATTTTGAGATCAAAGTTTACTAATTTTGACCGAAAAAAGTCAAAAGTGGACAAATACACATAGACAGAGTGAATAGTTTTTTTCATTTCATTCTCATTAAGAAATGTGTATATCTCCATTTCCAGCTTCTAACTCCGTGACATGTTAGTTTTTTCTTTCATTTCATTCTCATTAAGAAATGTGTACTCTCGATCTATACAAATTCCTTTTTTTATTTTTAAATATTACTTCTATTACATTTTTAATTAATATATAAATTCAAACAATAAAATTAAATAAAGAATGGTACATAATTTGAAAAAATTACAAACATAAATCATGAATTAAGAAAGTTAACTAAAAAATATGATAAAATATTACATTGAAAAGTCGATGCATAAATTGTTTAAAAAAAGAGTACAATTAATAAATTCACTTTCTTTGTTTATGTTCATTAGTCATTTGATAAAATGATATAATCCTTTCTGCTTTAATTTTGTAGAATTTTTTATATAGGTTTTAAATATAAAGCTTATTGTTCAAACGTGTCATGCTTTGTGTGATACTCCCTCCGTTCCACAAAACCCTTCTTCTTTCGTTTTTTACTTTCGACAAAATACTTCCACTTTCTATTAAAAAACCACTTTTACCCCTACTTTTTTATACCCTACCAATCACATCATACTTTATCACTAATAACCAAACTATCACATCTTACTTTTTTCCATCACATCAGGGGCAAAATTGGAAAGTCAACTAAAATTACATTTTCCTTATTTTTTCCCAAAGTAAAAACCAGAAGGGTTTTGTGGAACGGAGGAGGTATTTCTTATTAGGGCGACTTGACAAACCTCCTCGTCACTAGTATTGCTATGGTGTTTGCTTTTTGGTGGAAGCCGTCAAACCATTACTCTCTTTTGTTCATGTCCCAAAACTTGGAACTAACAAAGTGGAAGAAGCGTTATGGTGGGTTTTGAAGAAACTCATGAAATTGGTCAGTAACTTTATTTCAAAAGCCAACACTCCTTTGCATGGTCCCTGCATCAAAAAAGTGGTAATTTTAAATTGTTAATTTAAAATTAAGAGCATTAACTAAAAAATAAAGAATTGTCACAATGCAATCCATGACAACATTACCATACATCTATTGGAGTACACAATTGAACAACAAGAATAAGTGACAATGCAATTTCTCAGAACATGACTGGACACCTACTCGGAAATGCAATTGAATTCCAACAATAAGTCACAATGCAATCTCTCTCAACATTACCAGACATCTACTGGAAAACGGAAGTGAACAACAACAATAAGTCATAATGAAATCTCTCACAATATTACCAGATAATTACTAGAAAATGGAATTGAACAACAACAATTAAGTCACAATGCAATCTCTCACAACATGACCATACGCCTACTAGAAAGCGCAATTGAACAACAACAAAGTCGCAATGCAATCTCTCACAACATGACCATACAGAGATTTGGATAAAAAATACCTTTTGTCGCTTCGCCATTTTCTCTGTCATAGTAACGGTTCGTGTATCTTTACCAGCAATTTCGTCCGATTGAATATCTCCATCGTCCGCCATTTTCTTCTTCTTCGACTGAGTGAGAAGCAGATGAATTGGGAGACAAGGCAATTGATTTGGTTATTCTTTCCCGCGCTTTAAACGAAGCGAGAATCGTGCGAGAATGCTTTAATTGAAGCGAGATTTTGGCAAGAATTGTGCAGATGGGGCGTGCGCTAGTTAATGTGTTTACAGGTAACTGGGATGGTTAATGGCAAACAGACATTAACTCCTTTTTTAGGAGGTTTATCTTTCAACTCCTGTTTCGGGGGCTTATCAATGTTATACTCTTATATTATTATTTAACCCTTTTATAAATAATACTCCCTCCGTCCCTGAAAATCTTTCTCCTTTTTTTTTCATCTGTCCCAAAAAACACTTCTCATTTCTATTAAAAAGTCACTTTTACCCCAAAAACACATCATATCTTTTTACTAATAATCTATCCATCAAATCATACATTTACTCATCACATCAAAGGACAATTTTGGAAATACAATACCAAAATACATTCTCCTTAAATCCCTCTTCAAAATCAAAACTCCTATGTTTTCCGGGACGGAGGGAGTATAATTTATGAACATCATTTTTTTATTTTATAAATTTCAATAACTATTTAAAAAGCATGAACCCAAACTAAAATCTGGTCTAGTCTTACTCTTAATAAGGGGATTTTCTCAACTGCGCTGGGGGACAATTATTATGCTAAGCATAAACTAAAGTTATTTCAGCAAGTATAAAGTGCATACGCTATTTCATGCCACCAATCTCTGGTTAAAATCTAATTTATTTCTTCTCAATAACTTTTCAGCTGAGTCTAAAAGGATCATCGGGGATGGAGCTCGTCCCTAAGAAGAGGATTTCTAAAATTGAATATCCAAAACATGCCCAAAAAGAAACAAGCCCTAGATTTCCCTTCAACTTATGATGGGAATGTGTACCGTACCAACAAGAAACAAAATAATGAAGAGGTGTACTGTAGCTAGGGGAGACAAGTAATGCAGCCTTGCAGTCATAATACAGAAATACTCCCAGTCCCTCCCTTATTATAGCTTATAGTCTTCCACTCTTTCCAACCCAACTCTTCCATATTAAAGCCTTCTTTCACTGTAGCTAGCTACTATTCTTTTTTTTTCCATAAGAAGATAAATTTAGGACGTGAATTCAATAAATTTCCTATTTTACGTTTACGTTAATATTTCAAAAAAAAAATAAAAAAGAGGGAAAGTAAGGGCCTACTTTTTAGAGTTGGGAAAAAGTTAAATCTTGGAAGAAACTAGAAGAAAATTAAAAAAAATAGAATAAATTGGAAGAAATTCGATCGAAAAATGAAAAAAAACTATAAAAAATCGAAAAGAATAAACCGGGAAAACCTAGAAATAATTGAAAAAACTATAAATAGTAGGAAAAACTAGAAGAAGTAGGAACATTGAAAAAAATAACTTTTCTTTTAAAACAGGAAATGTTTTATGGGACGGAGAGAGTAGTAACTTTTCTTTTAAAAAATGACGAATGTCATCTAGGATTAGATTGCGCATACAAGTTGAGTAAATAATACTCCTTCCGTCCTAAAACTAACTTCTCATTTTGACTTTTGTAGACAAACTTTTTAAATTTTGATCGTATATTACGAAAAAAATACATTGAATTTTCATATAAATTTATTAGCAATAGATTCATTTTGAAATATAGTTTCAAAATATATAATTTTTATAAATTTATTTATATTAAAATTAAGATATTGATGGTCAAAGTGTCACATTGGAGACCGTGAAAAGTCAAATGGAAAATTAATTTTAGGACGGAGGAAGTATATGTATCATAGCCAAGTTGTTGCCTGGGTTGAGTATGAATAGAATTATGGATCATAAGATTAGTTGACCAAGTTGAGTAAACAATATATGTATCATAGCCAAGTTTTGGATTTTAATTTGATATGATGAGCTTATTTATTGTACTCCCTCCGTTTGGAAAAACCCTTCTCATTTGATTTGGGGGCAAAAATAAGAAAGTGTTAAATTATAATTGATTTCCAATTTTGCCTCTGATGTGATGGGTAAAAGTAATATGTGATGGATAGATTGTTAGAGAAAAAGTATGATGTGATAGGTAGGGTAGGAAAAAGTAAGGGTAAAAGTGGTTTTTTAATAGAAAGGGGAAGCGTTTTGTTAGAAGTGAAAAAAATAAAAGGGGAGTGTTTTTAAGAACGGAGGAAGTACTATCTTTTGAGTTATATTTTCTTGATATAATAAAAGCTACATCTCATGAAATAATTGTGTTTTACTCTGTACGTTTAAATTCACACGTATTGCAAGTGCTACTATTTGGAGTAGTGAAGTGTAAGTGAAGTGATGGAAATCGTGAATAGGTAAAGGAAAAGGTAGAGATGAAATTTTTTGGAATGAAAAAGAGAAGTTTGAAAGGATAAGGGCTGGTCGTCCCACGTGGGAGCTCGCACGCACGTGCATGCCCACATGTCAACTATATCATCAATCATATGTCCATCAATCTATCATCCATCATTTGATTTGTTAATCATCATAATAATGTCTTCTTTCTTCATAGTAGTAATGCGGCTGTGTGTTGGTTGGTATGGTATAGTACATGCAAGTACGGAGCATAGTATAGTTGGTTCTTTGATTTGCAAATTCAACTGTTTCCATTGCAGCCTGCATGCGTACGTGACGACCATATCTATATCTATGTGTATACAAGTCCTCCATTGCCTTAGCTTGTCTTCACGCAAGCTCCTTAATTACCTTAACTTGCCCCCAACCATTGTACACACCTAACACACGTATGGTACCACAACAATTTTGTTGAGGTATATATGGTAGGAGCTATAGGGATTGAGACATGCAATATAATGTGGGGTAGGTAGGTATAGTTTGAGATACCGAAAGTCTGCGCTCGTGAGTATTGGGCAGTTTAAAAAATGAAGAAGTGCCAAATGAGTAAGACCTGATAGGATTTTTCCGCCATGAAAAGGAGGTGGTTGATTAGGACTAGTGAGGGCCTTAAGCAACAATTGGATGGAGCACCGACCCGCGAAGGTGACATGTGAGGTAGCGACGAGCACTAGCAAGGCTTATTCAGGAAAGAGGCCTCCAATTGGGCCCACTCCCAGCCATGCAAGAAGTCCAAGTCGATACCTATCTTGTATGTGGCATCCACCAGCAAAGGTAAGTGGTTGAAGCATCCCTTATGCGCTATCTGGGGAAAACCATCCTCGTAAGTGCTGGAAACCCTAGGGCTCTTCATCGAGTGTGGGCAATCGGGCTATTTCAAAAAGAATTGTCCCACTAATCATGATCTTCTATTC